TTTTTTCGCGCTTCGCGCCAAATCTTGCCCCCCCCTGGCTAAAATCCTGTGTACGCGCCTGGTTAGTTTCTTCTTACATCCCCCCCCCTCTTTTTTCACCGAGGGAGGGAAGGCCATTCACAAGAATTCTTCGTCCGAACCTAGCGCAGAATGCCGCAAATAATTCTGATAATTCTGAATATAAAGTTTTGTAAAAAGTAACAACTACAAAGAAGAGATTAAACTTCAAGCATACTCCGAAGTTAGTAGGATTAGAATTAAACATAATCTAAATCATGCATGGCACAATTAGAAAAAAGTGGTCATGTTTTTAAAAAGGGGGTTTTAAGAATTAAAGAATATTGAAAGGATGAGCATTTCATAGTGGCTCGGATGAAAAAATTGGCAAAATGTGGCCGAACCAAGAAATGTTAAAGCTTGCCTTTCCTCCCTCATACATCCTACCCTCTGATAATATATATTCAGCAGGTCCACAGTTTTATATGAAACATAGCTTCGCCGCCGCGGGGAAATTATAGAGAACTCTAGGCGAATACTTTTCAGCCAGGGCAAATTAAGGTAGAATAGGATAGGTTGGATGAGGGTAGATTGAGAGGTCAGTGTAGGATAGGTTGGGAGTTCAGGATAGAATAGGATAGATGAGTTCAGGATAGGACAGGACAAAGAGTTCAAGATAGAATAGGACAGGGAAGTTCAAGATAGTATATGACACATGAGTTCAGGATAGGATAGGAGAGAGGAGTTCACGATAGAATAGGACAGAGAAGTTCAGGATAGAATAGGACAGAGAAGTTCAGGATAGAATAGGACAGAGCAGTTCAGGATAGAATAGGACAGAGAAGTTCAGGATAGAATAGGACAGAGCAGTTCAGCATAGAATAGGACAGAGAAGTTTAGGATAGAATAGGACAGAAAAGTTCAGGATAGAATAGGACAGAGCAGTTCAGGGTAGAATAGGACAGAGCAGTTCAGGATAGAATAGGACAGAGAAGTTCAGGATAGAATAGGACAGAGCAGTTCGGGATAGAATAGGACAGAGAAGTTCAGGATAGGATAGGACAGAGAAGTTCAGGATAGAATAGGACAGAGTAGTTCAGGATAGAATAGGACAGAGCAGTTCAGGATAGAATAGGACAGAGAAGTTCAGGACAGAATAGGACAGAGCAGTTCAGGATAGAATAGGACAGAGTAGTTCAGGATAGAATAGGACAGAGAAGTTCAGGATAGAAAAGGACAGAGAAGTTCAGGATAGAATAGGACAGAGAAGTTCAGGATAGAATAGGACAGAGCAGTTCAGGATACAATGGACAGACACTTCAATATACGTTCAGGATGCAGTTTAGGACAGAATTAACTTAACTATAGTCTCCAACCTGAATCTATTAATATATAGCTTTTTTGTGAAATCCATCAATGTAAAAAGAACATTTTGCGAAATATACTGATTTTTGAAGGACGAAGAAAAAATGTTGACTGAAAAACTAAAAAGATGGACACGAAGCGCTCTAAAATTCTAGTACCGTGAATACTGGATACTAGTGCACTAGTATCCAACCTGTGTTAATGCATCCTACAGGGGGTTAAACTGTTTATTTTTCAAGTTTACTATGTGTAACAGTTCAACAGCTCTAAATGCAGTTTTTAAGCACGAACCCGCACTGATGATGTTATTACAAGAACGCGGGTTCTTTAAAACTGCAAATAATGCTGCGTAAAATGCTTTTAATATATGCGTGTGTCATGCATCTGCGTTTTCCTAAAAGAAAACAAAAAATGAAGAAATAACAACAATGAAAATGTTTTTCTATTTTTATTCTAAAGCCGAATAAGAAACAAATATACATATATAACGTTTTTCTGTATTTGTGTGCAAAAAAAATACAAATTTAACTATGATTGTAAATTTAGAAGTGAAAGAAACTAAATTTTCATTTGTGTTATTGCAAATAAAAACGTAAATATTAATGTAAATTAAAATGTAAATGCTCAAGTACTTGTAAATTAAAATACAAATATAATTTTAACTGTAAACAAAATGTAAATTTAAAAGACTAAAGCAACATAAAAGTAAATATCAATGTAATTTACGTAATGTGACTTGTGTAAATGTGTGCATATGGACTTGAATGTAACTGCAATTGTAAATGCATTATTGTAACTATATAAGATAAATGTAACTCTAATTATAGAATCTATTCTGATTAAGAGTTATCTCATATATCATTAATAAATATTCAGTTGATTAGGTACAGGTCAAACTTAATTATGCATTCGTAGCATTCCGATATTTTCTCACACACATTCATATACAACTATCACACACAACAGTCACTAACTTCAGACAAAACAAGCGGTACGTGCCGGGAAAACAGGCCGTGTTGAGTCAATTCCACAGGCAGCAGGTGGGAACAACAGTCGTGCCGGTCAGGAAAAGCGGAGTGTGTTGGTGGATTTCTGAGAGAGTGAAGCACCGATGAAACACGACAGTGGCGGAGGTACACTGTAGACTCAAGAAAACTTCGGTCAGTTCTCATTTGACGCGCAAACAGTGAAGACGTATGTCATGTGAATGTTAAAATATTTTGTGAGTTTATGTCAGCAAATATAAAAATCACCAGGTAGACTACAAACTTTTTTCGACGCCAGGGAACTTTTAAAGTACATTTACTATTATATAGTCAGTCCCCTGGTGTGGATGTTGACGCATTTTTCATTATAGCTTGTAAACCTGAGATCTTGACCTGCTCTACCATATGATTATAAATCGCAGATTTGTCAAATATTTTCTGTTTGCAGTATTTTTTCCATATCACTCTTAAAATACACCAACATTTACTTTGATATTTTATTGGAGGAGAATTTTTTTTTAAATCTTTAATTCTTTTCACTTTTATCTTATTTTAATCATCATCACTCTTACTGTTTACACAACATTAAAAAAATATTCAGATTAAAGGGCGAAACTTTTTTAATTGAGGATGGGGGGGGAGGGGGGAAAAGCGGATAAATTAAGAATATTTGTTTGTACAAAGCAAACACGTTAAACGCATAAATGTCCCCCCCCCTTCCATCTACATTTTTGCGACTAGTTGTCTCTGTTAAAGGGTGTAAAACAGTAAATCTTGTGATAAAATGATGAGGGAGGATCTCTGGAAGATTTTACAAGGGGAGCAATAAAACAATTCAACCCTTTCCTCTCATCTCAAGCATTTACAAGCATACCTTGGTATATATACCCCTAGTAGGGTTTATAGAGATGTCAGGGGGGGGGGGTAGATTTGGTTAGAAAGTAAACAAGAAATGGTTTAAATCGTACAAAAGTTACAGAGTATAAGTAAGAATGTACATAGTAACAAGTACAGAAGGTACAAGTATACAAAAGTATCAGCAAGTGCAAGTGCAAGTGCAAAAGTACCAGCGTACAAGTACAGAAGTACCAAGGTACAAATATAGAAATACCAAAGTACAAGTACAGAAGTACTAAGGTACAAGTACATAAACACAGAACTATTTAGATTAGGGTGCCAGATTGAATCGGCAGGGGAATCAGCACCTGACTGAGACCCTTCCCGGAGTCGGTCTTGGGATCCCACATTGGGGGTCTTTCACGATCTTTTTCATTTATTTATTTATTAGGTGCAAATAAAATTGTTCAGAAATCATTTCAAATTAAAATAAAAATTCTTTCAATACCGAATCGCCTTTTAAGGTTCCTTTATAATTCTAATTCATGCATTCTTTCGAATTCAGGACCCGAGAAAAAAAATTTAATGCTAATTGAGAAGGTTTCATGCCTTACCTTTCCTGTTGAATTTAATTAAGTTCATGATGTTGTACGAATTAAATTAATTTAGTTACGTTTTATTACAACTTTTATACCATGAGGGTTTAAGCAAGCAAAGAGGTTCATAGAAGCATTCTTTAGGAAAGAATTTTACAAGAAATATGATCAAGTTAATTACTCTTTTGTGCTTTAATGATAGTTAAACGATATCAAATCTGTTTTAAAATCGTTTTTCTCCATTATATATCTATCCACTGCATTTTCAATTAAAATCGTTCATAAAGAAGCCACAATTTTATTATCCTTAAACGGTAATCTTCAAACCTCTCTCTGGTCAATAATGTGGAAGTATTGTCATGTTTATTTAATATTGTTTAATTCTTATAGTTTTCTTCAATCTACAGCAGAAATGCAAAAGTCCCTTTTGCAGAAAAACACCAATTCAATGTTATGAATTTTAAATAGATGAACATGAATATCTCATTCTTTTCTTGACCATACCAGTGAACACACTGTTCTAAATTAGAGATTCCACTTAAACTTCTTGAAAATACGTATAGTGAATATAACCAATTTTTTAATAATTTGTTACGATGCTCTCCTACTTTATAAAGCCCGGGTCAAACGCATAGAAACACAGAGATATATATATTATATATATATATATATATATAATATATTGTATGTATACTCTGATAAAGGCTAATTTGTCAGGGCCTGACCTCAGGCCATGTTTAGTCCTAAGCTTGATCGGCCTGAATTTATAATGAAATATGATCCTAATTTTGGAAAAATTATAAATTTAAGAACAGAGTATTTTGATCAGATGAATATTGATGGCTGTAATAACGGACTCAAATTTATTCAAAATGTTAAAATCTAGTTTTTTAAATTTTTCAGCAATTTTTTATTGTCTCTCAAAAATTTTCACGTCGAAAGATTGCCAATAATATTGCTAAAAATTTTGTATTTAATTTCTTGTTTGACGAGGTCAAACTAAATTTTTGCAAAGTTATGTATTAACGTAAAATTAGCAAAAAGTGGCCGATTTTTCGCCAATTCCTCTTAGCATAACTATTATCTTGTCTGCTATTAACATAAATTTTACATTAAAAAGTAGGGGATCACAGCCCCCCCCACACCAATTTTATTTAATACAATACCACCCCCCGCCCTTCCCTCTGGCCTTCGATACCGAGGGACCCATAAATCTGTAGAATAAGAAGACGACATTTAAGCCATCTTATTAGCATTTGATGTTGTTAAAAGGTTTTACCACTAGCTAGAGAATTAACTTATAAAATAAAATGGGTCTGTGTACACTGCACAACTTCTATGTTTCATTTTCATTGGACTATTTTTAAATGATAACTTGAATGAAACAGTCCTCTTCATGTTTCACAATTTTATGGCTGTTCCTGTAAAATTGCTATGTTAATGCTATGTTATGCTATGGACTATTCGAAATAATAACTTTAGCCTAAACATTTGTATTTTCTATTTAACAGTATTATGGTTCTTCTTGTAAAATTGCTATATTAATGCTATGTTATGCTATGGACTATTCGAAATAATAACTTCAGTCTAAACAGTTGTATTTTCTATTTAACAGTTTAATAGTTCTTCCTGTAAAATTGCTATATTAATGCTATGTTATGCTATGGACTATTCGAAATAATAACTTCAGTCTAAACAGTCGTATTTTCTATTCAACAGTATTATGGTTCTTCTTGTACAATTGCTATATTAATGCTATGTTATGCTATGGACTATTCGAAATAATAACTTTAGTCTAAACAGTCGTATTTTCTATTTAACAGTATTATGGTTCTTCTTGTAAAATTGCTATATTAATTCTATGTTATGCTATGGGCTATTCAAAATAATAACTTCAGTCTAAACAGTTGTATTTTCTATTTAACAGTTTAATAGTTCTTCCTGTACAATTGCTATATTAATGCTATGTTATGCTATGGACTATTCGAAATAATAACTTCAGTCTAAACAGTTGTATTTTCTATTTAACAGTTTAATAGTTCTTCCTGTACAATTGCTATGTTAATGCTATGTTATGCTATGGACTATTCGAAATACTAACTTTAGTCTAAACAGTCGTATTTTCTATTCAACAGTTTAATAGTTCTCAGTGTACGTTGCAAGATGATCTTCAATCCAAGCTTGCATATTTTCTATGGGAACTTTTTGCGGTTGGGAGTGGCTAAAGTTTTGTTGTAGTTTGTTGTTGTTTTAACGGTTGTAGGCTGTAGGTGGGTATTTTTAGATTTTGCATATATGGCTTGGGAGGTGGGGGAGAGGGGGGTATATTTTTGATAAAATTTCTTAAACTTTCCCAATTTTAATAAAGTAACTTTTTTCAGGATGAAAAACGGGGAGAGAACAGTTGCTGCTCGGATAGCGCAGTTTGAGATGACCGGCTCTAAACTTATTGCTAAAGATTCAAGTCCAACAGACGAGCAGGAAAACAGACACAAATATTACCACCCCCCCCCCTACTACTCCATGACCCTCATGCCATTTTTAAAAGTTTGAGGTTGGTTTAACGACTGATGTGATTGGTTAACCTTGTTGTATTGTGAAATGAAACGGTCAATTTACCGGTGTATTATGGTTAATAATACCCCGGCTTCATGCACCCTGCTCCCTGCAAATCAGGAGCAGTTAACCAGAAAAATCTATATTTTAAGTTTTCCCAGCTGAGAAGGTTTTTTATGAAGAGGTGGGGGGGGGGGCACTTTGAAATAAACAGGAGGAGAAGGTCAATTTTATGTGTCAATACTGGTAAAACTTTGTGACCAAGTAGCTCCTATAGTTTTGATTTTACGCACAAATATGAGAATAGCAAATATATTAGAGATTCAAAATACATTTGTTCTTCTCAATAGCTCTCCAACAAGAGGAGTTAGGATTTCTCCCTTTCGTGGAATTTACTTTAGCTTAACGTGAGGGGGGGGACCATGTGTATATAATTGATATAGTACTCAAAGTGGGTGTTTAGCATTAAGTGTAAACGGTGTTTAAAGATGCTTCAAGTGCAGATAAAAGAGATATCTCAGCTTAATCAAGCAATTTGAATTGTATATTTTAGTGCTTATATGCTTGGTTGTATCTCTAGGTCTAGTTAGATTGGTTTGGGTTCTGCCCACAACTAATTTAGCACGTTTTACTCATTTTGTTAGTTGCTCAATGGTTGGATGGTTTAATGATTGCACCGCCTTAATATCTTATTTAAATTCTGTCTGTGAAATCAGGTTGTTCATGGTGTCAAGGGTGGGACGAATTCTCAAGATCAGATTGTCTTTAATCGGTCGTCCGAGCTGGACGATATTCTTGAGGAGAGTAGTATAGAGGACGAATCAGACGAAGGACACAGTGATGGTTATGTGCCGACATCAAATGGAGATTCAAATAGTCCGGACTGTTCATTCCGTCTCTCCGGTAGATCTTCCTGCAGTAGTGAAGAGCTCCAGGAGAACGAAACTAGTACTAAATTTAGAACCCGGAGTAAGATCATACAAGGACTAAGTCAAAAACTTAGTTTAGATTCAGGGTTCTCTGACAGCTCTGAGTCTCACATTATCTATAATATGAAACAAGTCAATGAAGAGGAACGGAGAAAAGAAAATGTGGAAAGTCCAAGGCGTGACATGGATGAAGGAAAAGGAAAGGGTTCGGAAGAAAGTCGGAAAAGGGAAAAGTTAGAAGAAGTGGCGAATAAAAGACAAGGATCAGTAGAAAAAAGGGGAGAAGGAGAAGAGGGAAGAAGAAGGGAAGGTGAGGAGGGCCGGAAATTAAAAAGTGCAGTAGTTCATGAGACCCATGCTCTGAGCAACTCCAGCAAAATGCATCACGTCAGCAAGGTTTACTTCTACTCTGTAAGTGACATTTTACAGGAGTCTGGTAGGGGATATGAAGATAGGGAAGAGATGGAACCCATCCATCTGTCAGACCAACATCCGACATCTAACCCATCCACGCCCCGCATTTCCGCCCCGGTTTCAGAGCTCGACTATCTCGATATGATGATGCGAAGCTCACCGCAGATAGAGCGAAGCCCTCGAGTTCGAACTGGAACCAGTTCACTTCGACGAAAGCATCGAAGGGAGGAGAAGGATCGAAGCGGAAGATCGAGTCCTTTAATGAGATCGAATACACCAACCCATACGTTTCCAATCACCAACGGTTCACTTTACTCCGATCTTAGTTTGAACAGGAAGGTTGCGGAGAACCAGAGAGCGAGGAGGAGGGAAGAGAGAGATAGTTTTAATCTAACAACCTCTAGTATTCACAGTGATCTGGATAGTTTTGATAATCCTCTAGATGCGTCCCAGCATAGTTCAAATACTTCCTTCAGTCCTGGATCTAACTACTCATTCCATACACCCTCTCCCAACCCATCCAGTCATCCGTCCTTAGATATTCAATCCCTATCCAACCATTCATTCTTATCCACTAGCCTACAATTAGAAGCATTCGGAGTGCATTCTACATTTAATAGGTTAGTTTTATTATATAAAACCATTTCATTCTGATCTTCCTATTTTGCGTTCTATAATGTCAATAATTGTTTAAAATATCTTCAAATTAAATATTGAATGTCTCTAGTTAGAAAAGGTTATTAGATCAGATCAAAACAAGTGTAGGGTTTCAAAGGATGGGAAAGCCTTCTAAGATTCATGATTTAGACAGATAAAGGTTTCAATTTTCCCAGATTCAATAACATTGATTTTACTAGATTCCATCCAAAACATGGACTTTCATTTTCTATTTTATATCTTCTATCTATCGTCTATCTACTACCTTCTGCCTTTTACCTTCTTACCTTCAACCTTCAATCTTCTATCTTCTATCTTCTATCTTCTATCATCTTACATTCTACCTTTTACCTTCTACCTTCTACCTTCTACCTTCTACCTTCTATCTTCTATCATCTTACATTCTACCTTTTACCTTCTACCTTCTTACTTCTACCTTCTATCTTCTATCTTCTATTTTCTATTTTCTATCTTCTATCTTCTATCTTCTATCTTCTATCTTCTATCTTCTATCTTCTATCTTCTAACTTCTATCTTCTATCATCTTACATTCTACCTTTTACCATCTACCTTCTACCTTCTACCTTCTATCTTCTATCTTCTATCTTCTATTTTTTTATTTTCTATCTTCTATCTTCTATCTTCTATCTTCTATCTTCTATCTTCTATCATCTTACATTCTAGCTTTAACCATCTACCTTCTACCTTCTACCTTCAATCTTCTATCTTCTACTTTTTATTTTCTATCTTCTATCTTCTATCTTCTATCTTCTATCTTCTATCTTCTATCTTCTATCTTCTATTTTCTATCTTCTATTTCCTATCTTCTATCTTCTATCTTATTAAACACGATTGAACAAATTGAACGCGAATTCTCCGAACTCAACACCGCTTCTTATTCTTGTTCTGCAGGTTGCAGATTGTTTTCGCAAAAAACGGTTTGGTTTGGTTCCATTCGCACAGATTTAATTAGTTTGACAGAGTACAGTGATGGAAGGCACTTGGGCATTTTTTGTGAACATTATACAACGTACTTTTATTTTTATTCGTCCGAATTCTCTAATTTCTCTTTTTTCGTAATTCCAAGAGCCGGAGAAAAGAAATGTGTCTCAAAACATTTTATTGAAAAGTAATCAGACTTTAGTTCTCGGTGATTGCCGAATGCTTAACTAATTAATTCACTGCACCTGCAGTAGATGCGCAAGTTTTTCAGCTCATCAATCTTTTAAATCTATTGCTTTGTTTAGAGCTCTCCATGAAAACAACTCTAAAAAGCAAATGCTTGATGATCAAGTACACTCCATATTTAATCAATAAAATCTAAATTTGTGTTTTGATGAAGTCAGTTCAAAATGAAGAAAATCGAATAAGCGAAAAATACGACTCATGAAGTCGAATGAAAGTAAAAAACCAATTTGTTGAGAGGCATTTTTGAAAGGATAACAATGAATTAGAATAAGGACAATTTCTGAAATAATTCCCATCAAACCAAATATTTTGAAAATAAAAAGGATTAGAAAACATTATAAATTCACACAATATATCAAAAATTAGAGTATAATTATTCCATAAAATGCATATAATTCATATTATACAGACAGTTAGGAAGTATATATTTGCACCTTCTCAATTGTATGTGGGATTCACCAGAAATGGCAGAGGTACTAAAAAACAATTTTAAAAATAATAGAAATAGGACAGAATAGCATGAGGTGTTATATGTTAGGTTAAGATAAAACTAAAATCGAATTGCAACATTGTAACTTTTTTCTTGTCCAATTCTTTAAAAAAAGAAGTTTGTTTTTCATGCGCCGCCTTTCTAATTTGAAATGGTTGTTTTAAAGGAGTCTGCTTTAAAGGAGTCTGTTTTAAGGAGTCTGTTTTAAAGGAGTCTGTTTTAAAGGAGTCTGTTTTTAAGGAGTCTGTTTTAAAGGAGTCTGTTTTAAAGGAGTCTGTTTTTAAGGAGTCTGTTTTAAAGGAGTCTGTTTTTAAGGAGTCTGTTTTAAAGGAGTCTGCTTTAAAGGAGTCTGTTTTAAAGGAGTCTGCTTTAAAGGAGTCTGCTTTAAAGGAGTCTGCTTTTAAGGAGTCTGTTTTAAAGGAGTCTGTTTTAAAGGAGTCTGCTTTAAAGGAGTCTGTTTTTAAGGAGTCTGTTTTAAAGGAGTCTGTTTTTAAGGAGTCTGTTTTAAAGGAGTCTGTTTTTAAGGAGTCTGTTTTAATTCTCCATTCAGAGTAAATACTAACTCATATATATGTTTTTAATTTCTAATGGCATAACATTTTAGTATTCTAGTATACAATTTTAGTATTCTAGTATACAATTTTAGTATTCTAGTTTACAATGTTAGTATTCTAGTATACAATAACAGTTTAGTGGTATACAATTTTTTTGTATATTTTCTTTTTATCCATTCTTTATAAACAAACCTTATTGTGCAGAACCAAGTGAAAGTTTGCAAAAGATGAAAAATATGTTTGAACCTCCTCTATTTATAAACTATGGCGTATAATCAGGTCAGAGATTAGATTATAGACCTTTAATACTATATCTAATGGAGATTACTGTACTAAAAGAGAAAGGGGGGGGGGTGAATTGTAGAAACTAAAACAAAACATTATTTACAAACACGATGCTTGAAAAATTGATAATAAGTAATCATCAATTATAAATGTTGATTAGAAAGTATCTCACGATAGCGGTGAAATTAAGAATAATTATCTGTAAAGAATTTTATGTAAATTAATCATGAAGCGATTAGACTATATTCCTCGGGGGTGTATGAACATATAGAGGAACCGTAGCTAATCCACTAATTATGGTTTTAATGAATTTTAGACCAAAAATTGAATTTGTTTTGAGATTCAACAGGAGATACAAATTTTTGGATTTAAATTTTGAAAAATGTTGTGTTTTTTTTTCGCTGTAAATAAGCCCTATTTACACACCCTATTTTTTTTGTACATTTGAAAATTATAGCAACAAAACTTTTTCTGTTTTCTTTGGTGAATTTCCAGACATCTTTTTAACAATTTTTTGTTTTTGGGCCGGCCACACGGTTTACCAATAATTTCCTGAAACACAAGGCTTCGCAACTCTTGTAATATTATTGGCTTTGCTGTTTTTTTAAATATATTTGAGAATGATAACAACAAAATTTTGCTTTGTTGACAAAATTCTTAAAATTTTGACAAGCCGTATAATTCATAAGTTCCGTCTGCAGTAGACACTTTTTTAGACAAGCTTTTCTGCTACACCCTGTGCCCCCCCCCCCCACCATTGTATTTTGTGCCCCTCCAAAACATGTAATTGCGCATCTTTCTCGGCATTTACAGCGGCGGTAAATCATGTTTAATTCGACATTCATACCGACCCCGGTGTCCAGGTATTTCATGCTTAAAAACTATTCTTTTTAATTTTTACATTTACCAAATTCTTATTCGTTTTTAAAAACTATTTCGTGCTTAGGGAATACAAGTTTTTAAAGGGTTAGCATTTTTGATCTAAACTATTTTGCAGCTATGTAAACCAATCATAGGGGAAGACAGACCAATTTACGTTTCCGACCTAAGAATTGTTTTCCGGCTGGCCACGCGCGGTTAACCTCCATGCAATGTCGCAAAATAATTTGAATGGCCTAAATCGGAAATAACATTTGGTCTGAAACCCAATAGTTCGTTTAATACATCACCGTACTTTTCCTAAATCATTTTGATTGTGGCGCGTTGAGCTCTAAATTCCAGTCCAGCGTAGGAATCTCTGAAGCAGGACCTAATTTTAGTCCTAATTCTGATCGGTTTAGGCCAGGGGCACTCTTCATGATTTAAAATGAAGCGAGGGCCGGCTTAAAGCCAGGACTATACCAATTATCTAAAGTAGAGTAGATGCAGGGGTGTGTAAAGGGGGTGGGGCTGTGGGAAGTAAGCCCCCTCCCATTTATGAGAGAGAAAATAGGGTTCCTAGGGGTTTTAGTCCCCAATACAGTCTAATCCTAGCCCCCCTCGCCACATTCCTGTGTACGCCCCTGGGATAGAGGGTAGAGGGAAGAGGGACAAATCTCTTTATTTCCTGACTTCAGTTTGGGTTCAAAAATAGAACTTCTAAATTTGGAATTGGGTTAGGATGGGGGGGCTGGGTGTGTCATTTGTCCAATCTTAAATTTAATTAAATAATGATTTGTCGTATAGAATTTAAATGCTTAACCTTGACCAGATGTGTACTTACCAAATCTATAAATATAATAAGATAAGATATTATGTATATATATGTATATGTGTGGCATTGTACATTAATACAATAAATACAGTTTAAAGGGACTGTCCTTGTAAATTCAAGTAACCTAACATCAAAAAGGGACAAGCCCGATTTACTATGGTATCTTTAAATCTTATCTTAACGTTAATGTGGAAGAAATCGTCGTTTTTCCAGCTTGATGAGTGTTAAATTCTGATTATATCCCCATTGTTTTTTTAAGCAGAAATGCGCAGGTCACTTTAAGAGTATAAATATTTAGCTTATTATTGATCAGTCGGAGTTTTAGGGGTACCTTTCTGAATTGAACATGTGGAAAATACGTCTAGGTTTAATCCCTTTAAGAAAATTCAAAAATAAAACAACTCCAGAATTTCTGAAATAAAACGATTTGTTTTCTTTTGTTTATATATTCAATAAATGAAATGCATACTCTTTTGTAAATTCTAAAAGTGAACAAAAAAATTTTTTTTTGATAATTTATGTATTTTGAGTGAGATGATATTTTAAGAAATTCAGTCTGATCGAATGAAAGCATATAATTTAGAAGGTGGTTTAGAGTGTGTAGTTTATTAAATAATTTCTGAACTTTATGGTTGATGGAAGGTTATTGAAGCCCCCTTCCCTCCATGGATGTATGCCTGGGTAGGAGTAAGTGCTTAATTAAGCAGTTTATAGAGAGAGGGGTGGAGGACTTGGATGAACAGATTAACTCACAGCTTGTCTTTAATTATATTCATTGGGTAAATTCCTTACACTCTCTCTCTATCTTTCTTCTTCATTTGGTCAAACATTGCTTTCCAAACATCAATTTGTCTCTCTGAAAATCTACATATTCAATCTTTTGTTTTAACAGTATTGGGTATTTTATCTCACTGTTGGTCAATTGTTTTGTATTTAACTATTGGAATATTAATCACTATCTTCAATATGCATAATGTACATTCAGTGGAAACCATAAACTGTGGAATAGGAAGACGACATTTATGCAAACTTATATTTATACATCGGTTCAAAAACTGTCTCAATCCAACCAAAATTGTTTGCTAAAAATTGGTTTATCTGATACTAATTTTAGTGTTCAAACCTTTGAAGGTGTTTTGTTGGGGGGGGGGGGGGGGGGTTGAGTTAAGACATCTTTCGAATTGAGATGGGAATTTAATGCTAGCAGTAGAATATCCAAATTCTTTTCCAAGAAATTGTATTTCAAGTTTATTAAAAAATGCATTTTTAACAAACCATCTTTACAATATGGTGACAAAACAAATTAGGAATTTAAAAATTATACAAAAAGGCGAGAACCTTTCGAGATATAGAGAAAATTTAAGTCCAAAAATTTTATAGCACGTCGTGCCAAAATAATAGTGTTATAAGTAATTTTATGAAACGTTTGTGTACTTGTCTTGTTTCAATGGCTATTTCTATAGATCAAAAAAGCTTTGAAACAAAGCAGAAGTAAAAAAAATAAAGTTGATTTCAATTTTATTTAAATATCCTAATTTTTTTGGAGAAATCCGGGAACCAATCAAAACTTTATAGCACAACGTGCTATGATGTACAGCTAATTTAACTTTATAGCACGATGATTACTTTATAGCACGTTAATTATGAAATGCACGATGAAGTGAGTAAAAATGATAAAAAAGTATTTGTTCTATGTTTTGGAATCTATACTTTGGAATTTGGTAAAAGCATTAACAATATAACTGGGCGGAATTTCTAGATGGTATCTTTACAGTTCTACGATTAGTCTCATCTTTATGATGTTTCCTTCAAGATTGTTAGAACAATAAACCATGGTTCACTTTAATATTTGGTTCAAGTTATTTGCACGCAATATTACTTGGGATTTTGCGTGTTCAAGGTATATATCCTACAGGTAGGGGATAGGGATGTCAAGGTGTGTTTAGTAAAGGTAAGGGGATTTTGCGTTTCCAAGGTGTATATCCTACAGGTAAGGGATATGTATTTCAAGGTATGTTTACTAAATGTAGAGGGGGATTTAGGGTGTACAAGGTATATATCCTACAGGGAAGGGATATTAATTTCAAGGTATGTTTACTAAAGGTAGAGGGGGATTTGCGTTTTCAAGGTATAATCCTACAGGTAGGGGATATGGATTTCAAGGTATGTTTACTAAAGGTAGGTGGATTCGGCGTTTTCAAGGTATTATACAAAAGGTGGGGGATTGTTTACCATGAGGAAATACAACTGTTAGTAAACAAGCCCGGCCTGCTATGCCTGTCTAAAAAAAAAAGTTACAATCTTTGTTCACAATTTTTGTTCTTGTTTTGACAAAGCTAGTTCCTAATACTCCACAGTCGTGTACACCGTACAGTGTACACAAACCCTAGCCCCCTCTACATTTGGTATACATACCTTGGTCTTCCTCTTAACTTGAGCAAGAAATATGTAATTGTACACATGGGAATATTGTAAACAAAAACTGTTTTAACTTTATGTACAGACTAAGTACAAGCCAGACTTTTAATTGAGTATCGTTGAACAAAACTTCCGATTTTTCTTTTAGGGGTCGTCTTCGCATTTGTGTAAATCAACTTAAAAAGATTTTATAAAATTAACGACGTAAAATAATATTATTTTATCAATAATATCAAAAGTTTCCTTACCCCATTCGTAAAACCCAGTTTTCGATACTGGGTTTCATAACGATACCCTGCCTTAATTTTTGGGCTCTGGGAACAGTTGTTTTTAAACATCTTTGTAGATTCCAATTAATAAGGGGGGGGGGGGGGGAGGGGGGGATGGTTTTTGTACACATTTTTGTGTGACGTTTTAGTTTTATCAAATCAATAATAAAAATCGTAAATAAAGGTCGGAATTTTCAAGTACAGGGTAGAGTAGGGTTTGTAAAGTCATATTGTTTTCAAACTGTTTATCTACAATAACCATATTCTACAGTGATAACCAGAAAACTCTGGAATAAGAAGTCGACTTTTAAACTCAAGGTATAACTTTAAAGAGTCCAATAGAATGAGAATGAGAAACAGCAATTGTGCAGAGTAAACAGATCCATTTCACTTAATTCGTGGTTTAATAAGTTTTCTAGTAAAGCTATTTGCTTTGAAATAACATCAAATGCACTTCAGTAATGCTTTAGTGTCGTCTTTCTATTCTACAGTTTTCTGGTTATCACTGCAAACAGTCCTAAAACCTACTAGTTTAATGTAAACCATTTTTTAGTCCTCATGCTCAAACTGGTAGATTTAACAGTGGAAATTATTATTTTGTTTTGTTTATTTTTCGAAGCGTTTTTCACAAAAATATTGGATATTTTATCACTGTTTGTCTATCTTAGATAAATACAGACTATTTTGAGGCAGTTTGCTTGTATAATAAACCTTACCAATATACAGTGATAACCAGAAATCTGTAGAACTGGAAGACGACATTAAAGCAATAATAAAGTTTATTTGATGTGGTTACAAAGCAAATAGCTTTACTAGTTAATAATTAAATCACTTATTATGTAAAATGGGTTTACACTGAACAATGGCTGTGTCTCATCTTCATAATTTGAGACAAAAAGTCGACAAAAAGTCCTATTTCAGAGTTTTCTGGTTCTTACTGTACATAAAACATTTTTTACTTTTGCTCGTCAAATTTTTTATTTATTTGTCTTTCGAAAACAGTTTTTGTTAACTTTTTATTGTTCAGGAATTTTAATGGTCTTAGAAGAATGCCTAAAATTCAGAACAGACCACATTTTCTAGATTTAAAAAGAATTTTATGACTTAAAAACTCTAATCATTATTTTTTATGGGTCTCTTTGCACAATCTTTAAATTTTAATGTCCTCGGCTAAATTATTCAGTTTGTAAGGAAGGAACAGTGCTAAAATTAAATTAATTCTTTTCATCAAGTTTTATTATTTAAATTTAGTGAAGGCAACACCTTGTGTTTTTCCTACCCACGCCTACGGTCCAAGATAAACAAGAAATATGTAAACCTAACTTTCCACTGCATTGTTTTCCCACATCCCCCCCTACCCTCCCCCTCCCCCGTATAAAAAGTTGGTTTGATTTCTGAGAAAAAGTGGCCTAGATATAATATAAGTATGTATGCATACAGGTTTCTTCTCACATCTGTTTTACTTCTGGTTTCAATAGAACCATAGGATTACAGGAAACACAAACTGTAGTTAGAACCAGGGGTAAAGAGGGGAGGGGGCAGAGGGACATTGCCCCTTAAAATTTACGTTTCCCCTTTCAAAGCTTAAAAGTTAAAATTTGCTCTGTAAAATTGCATTATTATTCATTGTAATCTGATTTTAATAATGCAGTTGATGAAACTTTAACTTGAGCCAAAACATGGAAGACCAAAAAGTTCTATACGAATTACAAGCAAAATGGTTTTAGTAAAGGGGGGCAGCAGCACCCCTCCCCCCACATTCATGGGTAAAATAGCTATTAACTCACATAAAAAAAGCTCTTTTTGAAACATATATTTAAATTCGAGATACAAATATGAGGAAATTATGTTTAGGAATTGAACACAAGTTCTAGAGTTACATAGTACATACCAAAATTTATTACCCTGGTACATACTAAGTAAAATCTGTTTTTCATGCTCTCCATTCAGAGTAAATACTAACTCATATATATGTTTTTAATTTCTAATGGCATAACATTTTAGTATTCTAGTATACAATTTTAGTATTCTAGTTATTTTTTATATGAATGATGGATCATCCCATGTCAGGCTTCGACATCCGTCTTGTGTTTACATTACCGCCCAGAGACAGTACACTGCAGTACAAAATAGGCGTACACCTCTGAAATAACTTTCCTTGCATTATAACCTTGGACCGGGGGGTAGGGGTGAAGGATGGGGGGGGGCTTCAGGGTAATTGAAGGAAAGCAATGTTTAAATTTCTGATAAACAAAACTTATTTAGAAATAGATAGATAATGGTACTTTCAACAGTTCTTGCTGCCAAAATTATTCATGCTCTTAAAGAGAGTGTTCTCGAAAATTAAGATGGGTTCCTTGAAACCGAGAATGGTACTCTGTTTTATCAAATAAGTTTTTGGTTGTTTTATGGTTTACAGTTTTTCATTAGAATTTTATTAAAAAAAATATTTATTTTCTCGTGACACCATGTTTATCGTATTTTCTGAGTGAAAACACCCACCTATAGAGAAAGGAAAACACGGATTCCTTGAATATCAACATTTCTACACTAATTTACATAAACAGAGTGTTTTTGTAGAGTTGGGGGGGTTATTATTATTATTGTAGTATTGTATGTGGATCTGGTTGTGTGGGCTCCTGGTTATCTGAGCTGAGGAATGTTCATGAATCTGAGTGTACCATCATGTTGCAGAGCAAGCCGGTCAAACGGTGGGAGGGGGACGGAGATAAGGAGGGTGTACTCCAGGTAACTATCTATCTATCTATATATCTACAGTGAAACCCTTAATAACGAATACACCGGAAGAATTTATCAAATGTCGTCTTGACAATTTTTCAATGAATTTTATACTATATTGCGTAAATTTCAGTATTTGCGAAAATAAACAAATAGCCATGAATATGCGAGAACAGTTTTAAAGAGTTTCATATAGTCATTTAATTAAAAAACCAAATATCTGCAACATTCCATTATCAGAAAAAGAAGAATACGACATTTGATGAATTCTTTCGATGTATTCGTTATTAAGGGTTTCACTGTATCTAACCTTATTTCTATCTATCTTTCTTTCTTTCTATATATATATCTCTAGGTTAGAGAGAGGGTTAGAACTATCCAGGATAGAGCTCATACAGTGTCCAGTGTATTCTCTAACCTCTGCAGGTAAGAGCCAAAAACATATTTATTTTATTCGATTCACTCTTTTTCATTTCGATATTATTCAGGGTGCAGAAAGCTTTTAAATCAAAAATATTTTACACACTTTTATAATTGGCAGTTTACAAGCATGGCTTTGTTCACTATTACATGCTCGAATTTACTAATCTTTGCAATCTGATGTCGTAAACCTTTGACAGTTTTGATACCAGGTTGCGAAGATATGGAATTCTAAAAATCATATTTATAGACTGGTTCACAAGACTGCATACTACACACTCATTTACACAAAAATACTTTTTTTAAAACGGTTTAAATTACGTGCAAAATTAAGACATCATTTATATTATTTAGCCCGAAGGACACCCTGTATAAAAGTTAAATATGATGTACACTCCATATTTTTAATACTCTTTAACGAGTCAAGGATCCCATGAAGGTTAATGTTTAGATATCTGTATGGAACATAAATATATAAAGGTTAATGTTTAGATATCTGTATGGAACATAAATATATAAAGGTTAATGTTTTCCATAGGCAAGCATATTTTACTTTAATTTCCTGAGAACTCAAATTTTATTTTCTCTTTCAAACATTTTTCAAATTTCTTTTACAACGATTAAATTGTTTAAGATTTTTCTTATGACGGTAATTAAACATTTCACATTTTCTCAGGAAACTCAACATTCATTTAAAAGTTAGAGTTTAGATTTTTTTCCAAATAGAACTGTTGAAGTAGTTTTAAAGTGGTCATGTTCGATTTTCAATGGTATTAATATTTGTTTGGGTAACAATGATGAAGATATCTTTGTTCGATTCACTTAAAATTGGTTGTTTCCAAGTGCGGTTCTCTGTAAAGTTGTCTTCTGAAACTGAAATAGAAATAGAAATGCCTGAATTTAACACTTATTAAAAATATTACGATTCTTTTCTCATTAATAAATCGGGCATTGCACCTCTTTAAATGGGTGTCATAAGAATGTACGTAGACAGTTCCTTTAACCCTATCCAACTATATTAGAATTTACGTAGACAGTTCCTTTAACCCTATCCCGATATTAGAATTTACGTAGACAGTTCCTTTAACCCTTTCCCGATATTAGAATTTACGTAGACAGTTCCTTTAACCCTATCCCGATATTAGAATTTACCCCCCCCCCCATAGGATTTTGCCCTTGGAAATAAGCCTGTAGCTTTATTTTTGATTGCCCTCCACCCTACCCTGTGCATCAAAATAAAGTTGTTCACAACTATGAAGTTGAAAAAGTGAAGGAGTTTGAGCGTTTTAGTGTAAGCCTTTTTAAAACCACAGGGGGGGGGGAAGCAACCCGCACCCCAATCGTGATAGGGTTAAATTTGAATCTTGTCAGCCGTTATTCTTTCATTGTACAATTATTCAAGATCTATTGAACGTTAAAATAAATCTAAATAAAAACTCAAATTGATTTTTTGCGTTAAAATCTCTAGTTTTTTGGGTGAGCGAGCAAAGAAGGATTTTAACCAGGAACAGGCTTAAGCTGAAAATAGAACTGGTAGAAATACGACGAGAAATAGATTAATATAAATTTACAACCATAGATAAAGATAGATTGCGCATAAGACGACATTTTTCATCTTGAAAGATATAAATGTACAGAGATGTTTTAAAGATATTCCTATTATATAGATTACCTAGATCGGTTGTGAACATTGGCTGTTCTCATGTCATTGAGTATTTGTGGTGTACATGAGTTCTGTAGAGAGAAATTTAAGTTAGTTAATGAAATATTGTTGTTCAAATAGTTCCATTCCCGGAGTTATTTTACACTCTATTATGAAATCCATTAAAACACCAAACCAACCGGCTTATCATTGAAGTACACTTTGACCCCTAGAAGTATGAGTTCGCGGACTGTACAATTCTTGGTGATTTTGCGTACATAAGCTATCTATGTTTATTTATTTATCTATGTTTACAACACTGTCACGCATAGAAATATGGCATAGGAAGACGATATTCAAACGGACTTCAAATACAATTTGAATTGATTCGTCATGCCAAGTTGGTAATGTCTGATTAAGTATGAATAATATTACCATGTTTTTGTTTCTTTAAACTGTTCATTTTCATTTGCGGGTTCGATTCGAAAGTGACTTGCACATAATTCCTTGTACAAATGAATGTAGCAATTACTTGAATCAAACAAATTTCGAGTCAGAAAAAATGGTTTTATCTTCCACATTTGTTGTGATCTGATTAAGGTTTTAAGTTCTAAATCTGGCATAGCCATCTTTATATGTATTTTAAAGAACCTAATGTAACTTTTGTATCCCATCGTATTAGTTACAAAGATAAATTTGTGGTCTTGAGGTTTCCCTTGCTGTAATGTGTACTCAGGGGCGTATACAGGGGTTTTATAGGAGAGGGGGGGCAATTTATTTTCAATTTTGTTCAACCGGTGGGAGGCAGTTAGCCCTCCTGAAAATCATAACCACCACCTCTCGAGGGTTTGGGAGCTAAGTCCCTTTACCTCCCCCCCCCCCTCCCTCTATTCGCCCCTTTGTGCACTGGGTAAACACTAATATATATTTACGGTTACCTATTTGTTTTTAAAAAACCTTTAATTTCAACTTATAATTTATAATTTTTCTGTTTTTTTTTGGGATTTTTAACCAGTTAAAAGCAACATTACAAACCATTCTCTTAATAAAAATAGCTATACATTTTACACTAAATTCAGATAAAATCCATTTAATCTATATAGATAACAAATTGTTAAATAATTCTCACCTAAACACTTATTTCATACTTTTAGATTTGCATTCATATCCTTTTCTTTAGCACAAAATACTTTTAAATTTGCACAAAACACAATTCATGCAAAAAGTTGTAACAAGGCTTTCTTGTTCCCACACAAAATACTGCTAAACGGACCGAACTAATTACATAGTAATTAATGTAATAATTATACAGTAAAGTGTTTTTAAATTTATCATGATTGGAGGGGGGAGGGGGGTGTAGGGAACGGAGGAGGGGGAAGGGTGGAATGATATGACCGGACTAAAATTAAGCCAAAAAATAAAAATAAAATATTAAAAAATCAGCTAAATTCTTTGTCAAATAATTACTACGTGAGTTGAATTATCTGTTTTTTTGATAAAAATTTATTATTGGACATATTTTGAGTGTTTTGGGGTATTTTCTAAAAGATTTGAAAGTATAATCCATATTTTCATGGACATTTTCCGCGCTTTATTTCGTGTTGCATGATGTAGACAAGAATAGAGTAAAGCCTAATATTGAAATTATACAAACTGTTGCATCTATTCAACTCTTCAAAATAGTTTATAAACCTCACCCCCTCCCCTCAACCCCCAACACCATAAATTTTGGCGGGCTTGTCATAAAAATGCATTTTTTCAAGTTCTCGGGGTCAGAGCTCTTCCACCAACACTACTCATAACAGTTCCTAGATATTTAACGTGTCTTTGGTTCATGGAAAAATATTCAGTTTTAAAGGGACTGTAAACGTAAATCCATGCCAAGATGATTATGCCCGATTTGCAGATTTTTCTGATCAAGCTTGAATTAGATATCAATGTTTTTTTCATTGGCTGTTTCTTCGCGAAAGTGACTTGCACATTTCTTATAAGATACAGCTTTCAAGGTTACAAGGGTACCGTTGTAAATCGGGACTTGTCATCTCTGCATAGAGGGTCCCTTGAAGTTACGCTTACAGTCCCTTTAAAGAAACATTTGTTCAAAATTCTTCAAGGAAATAATTTGTTAAACGGAGTGTAGGTTTCAACTGTATTATTTTCATTTTTCTACCAGGCTATGCAAAGAAATATGTTCCTTTATCTAAAATTTGTGAATTGAAAGAAGATGGGCTTAAGTTTAGTCTTAATTATGAAACCATGCTATAGCACCGTAACTGTAACCGTGGAGTTACTTTATTTTGTAATTTTTATTTTTGTTCCTACCCGAATTGTTAGGATGATCAACATTTTTTTTTGTAAAATATATTGTAAGTTTGTTTACTTAAACAGCTTACAATGAGTTATTTTTACAACAACAAAAAATGAGTTAATAAAGGGTAAATAAATCTGAAAACACTCTTACAGGGTTTTATCCTTTAGGGTAAAACAAGAGTTTAAATCTGATATTTTGTAGGGAAGTCTCTGATGGAGCCCGGAGTAAACTGCTTCCTTACATTCAATCCCTCATTCATCAAATCAACCTTTTCTTCCTGGAGTGTGAAAATCAAGATTGGACGGTGGCTGACTTAACCCATTTCCCCGGATTCCGGTCATCCTCCGCCCAGGCCGGAACTAGAAACCTGGCGGCGGAACAAACCCGCCTTTTGGCCGTTTGCGAAGAGGTTCGAACTTGTATCCTAGCGGAGAGCGGAGACTTGGTTCGTAAAGTGACTCAGATTGGTTCCTCCTTCTCGCGTATAGTAGAGCTTATCCTTGGGGTTCAGGTTGGACGCTGCGTAGCTCAGATAGGACTTGGAGATCATGAGACAACTCTGAGCTGTGTCACCTCACTAGCTCTTGAGGGAAACAATCTTTGTCGTCTTCTCGTCTCTCACGGAGCTCTCGCGAGCATACTCGCTCTAACCTCTTCCACTCACTCTGTACCAGTACGGATATCAGCTCTTCGCGCCCTAGGATCAATCTGCTGTGTTCTAGAGGGAATACAAGGGTTTGCCAACCTTGGTGCTCCGGATATAGTTGTAGGTATACTAGCAGACCGTGGTTTAGGAGAGGGGGAGAGAAGGGAGGCTGCTGGAGTACTAGCACAAGTAACTAGTCCTTGGATAGAAGGGAATACAGGGTTCCCTGGTATACAGAACCTAGTCTCAGATATTGTTTACTCTCTGAAAGGTAAATTGTGACTTTTATCATTATTATTACTTTTATTATTATTATATTATTATTATTATTATTATTATTATTACTATTATTATTACTATTATGATAATTATTATTTTTGTTATTATTATTTTAATCAATAATGTTCTACGACGCTTATAGTTGCGCCTGAACTACTAATTCTATCTTACCTAAAATGTTTTAATTGCCCATTATCAATGCATGTCAGTAATCTTCAACAGTTGGCGTATTGAGCTTTAAAACTAACAGCTCTGTCAATGATTGCTCTCGAAACTAAAAACAGAGATAAGCCTGGAAATTCTGACTATTTTTAACATCCCTAAAATGGGTGGAATCTTTAAAACGATAGAAAAGTTAAGAAAAAGAGGAAGAATGCCGCGTATCAAATTGTATTTTTTTCTCAAGTTAAATCGTATTCAGATCCAACCCATATACAGTTTTAACAGCTGTTGAAAGACTTTAAATGGCCTCAGTTGTTGACTTTTATCTTAGCATTTTGCATCTCTCAGGGTATACAAGAAAGTAGCAGAGCAAAATTAGCTTAATTCATTTTTTATAATTCGAACTTTTTATTCAAATGGACTAATAATTACTATTAATATAATATATGTAATTATTATTATCATTATTAAAAGTGTTATCATTATTATTATTGACATAATTGATATATTTATCTAGACTTACTTCGGAAAACATGTTCCCTTGAAACCTTCCTGCTTTGCTCAGCTGCCCTCGCTAACCTTAGTTCCCTTCTACCCCTGGCTCTTCCAACCATATCTTCCGCCGCTCTCCTTCCTATTCTACTAAACCACTCCGCCGCAGCATCTGCCTCAGTGTATATCCAGGACCAGATAGTTACAGTGATCGCTAATCTGGCGAAGATCGGTGGAGCTCGAAGTCAAATGATCGAAGGATCGGCACTTCATCTTCTAGTTCGAATTCTTGGGACAACTTGTCCGAATAAATCTGACGCGGCATTGATCGCCGCTACAGAAAGAACAGTTAGTAAATCCGCCATCGCTTTAGCCCGCCTTTGTTTAGACCCCGCCTCCGCCGATAGTGTTGTCAGGATCGGCGGTTTAGATAAACTTCTAGAAGTGGCCAGATCCGCCGAAAATAACGAAACCGTTAAAATCGCTGCAATGGCTGCGATAAAAACAATTACTATTTATTGCAGTGCTAGTCTAAATTTAGATCTTGAACAAGAAATTATCGATCGGCGGCGATCAAATGATCGACAGGGATCGGATGATCGGTGGGTTACGGAGGTCAAAGGTCGCCATTGCGGCTACTACACTACAGAAACCCCCATTTCTAGTCTTGAGAGCTTTGTATAAAAAAATATTATGTAATTTCAAAATTAACCTCAATTGCCATCTTTATGTTTTAATAACTATGTACATATTATTATTATAAACTTGTACACAATTGTACACTTTACCATTAACATCATTGATTAATTCATTCATTTTTGCAATATTTTCTTAATTTTGCCTTATTTTCAGTCAGTATAAATGCAGTAAATAACTGAAAAGCAATCGGCTCTTCTCTTCTAAGTGAATTGATGTAAGATTTAAGAAGAACGCTCTACTCATAATCAAACTAAATTTAGAAAATTATATTGAATAGTTATGTTTGAGAAATATCTACACAGATTGTTCTAAAAAATTGTGTCTACTGCATTGTTTACATTCGGCCTAAGCTGGTTTGTTCATGTTCCACTCGTAAACTGTACTGCTGACTTAAATCTTTTATAGCTTCCTGGCGTTTATATTTCTTGAATTTTATTCAATCCATTTATAGCTCTTTTCATTGATTAATTGAAAACACATTCCTCCATTGAGAGATCCTTCAATCTATTGATCACTACTTCATTCTTCCTTCCACTCTCATATACATCATGATAAACACTTAGATTTCCATCTACTGCACCCGATATATAACCAATATATCATACAAACATCAATCTATCCTTCCTTCTATACCAGACAGTCATTATTCAATCTTCCGCACTAGTAAATCTCTGATGGGTTGATCAGGCCCGCCTTTTTTATATTCTAAACCGGATGTCCCAATATTCGATGGAATTGAGTTTTTTTAATACATGTATCTTTGTAACCGATGTCGCAGACCTTCGATATTTCAAACCAAGAATTATGTTACATCAAAATGTTGTAAGTTTAAAATACAAAAGGTTTACACAAGGTTGCAATGATATAAGGATTAAAAAACTTAAATTCCTTTTTCAACAACAACTTTTTTTCTGATTTTCTTTTGAGGCAATGGACATTTTTGATAGAAGTATATCTCAGGTTTCTATGACAAGCTGTTGGACAAAATAGTTCGACGAATTGAAAGCTTCCTTGACCTTTTTATTCTTTCGTTTGAGTGCATTTCCTATACAGCCACTTTATGCTACTGGACAACGGATGGGAGGGGATGGGGGGGGGTTAAAAAGTATTTTGAATAAAATATTATGCATATGAGGCATGGAAGGGGGATGGGGGGTTGTATTGGCTCTACGAATTAGTCTCAATTGCCTGTTCTCATAAAGTTTACAATCATCATATTATTATAGAATAATCTATTCATCTTCATCATTGTTCTATCTCTACTCATTCATATTTGTTTATTGTCTCACAAGAACTAAGTAATTATTCTCAACTCATGATATGTATTCAATATCTCAACCCCCGCCCTCAACCCCCATTTCTTCAGGCAATATTTACGTGCTTTTAAGGGGACTGTCGACAAATCTTTTCATCTGTTCCTTTTTCATGTCAGCGATTCTGTGAAACCAAATCCTCTTAAATCCCTTTAAACCCTTTTCAATTTCTGTTAATTCTGATCTACTTTTCTATTCCTTTGTTTCCCTTTATATTCCTCTATATCCCTTTCTTTGTATCCCTTTTCTCCCCTCGTTTATCTATTGCTATCCCTAGCTGTGTCCCATGTATCTCTCTGTATCCTCCTGTATCCTCCTGTATCCTCATGTATCCCCCTGTATCCTCCTGTATCCCCCTGTATCCTCCTGTATCCCTCTGTATCCTCCTGTATCCTCCTGTATCCTCCTGTATCCTCCTGTATCCTTCTGTATCCCCCTGTATCCTCCTGTATATCCTCCTGTATCCCCCTGTACCCCCCTGTAGTCTCCTGTATCTCCTACTGTGTATATGTAGTATAATGGTATTGTTTAGTTTAAGATGGATTGAATATGTCTTCCTACTCTGCTATGGCTGTGAATCATTCAATGAAATAAATATAGTTAAAAATAGTTCATTTTAATACAGATGCAAATTGTGTGAGTTTTCCTTTCTATCAATCTTTGCATTAGTAGTTTTTTTTTGTCTATCTTAAAGGGACTGTAAAGGAAAAAATAAATGGGGTGCAGGCTAAAACCTGAGAATCTCAGGAGTTGAACGATACCTATAAGACATCTATCTAAAGTTCCTGTCTAGAGAAATTGACATACAACTGTGTCAAAATTATACCAATGTGAAATATATACGTCCGTATCTCGTGACCAGAACTCCCTCCAATGGCAGTGCAGTATACTGTTCACGTGATACAGACAGAGACACGTGACAATAATACTGCATTGTCATTGATTGAAATTCTGGAACATGAATCGGACGTATAAATAATATTATCAATTATATCTATTAAAAATGAAAAATTATTAAATTCAAATACTAATAGGAGCAAACTTGGGTTTCTCAGGCTCCTCTGTGATATAATCGTTTTTAGATTGTTTTTGTGTTTGTTGAACATGATCTGTTAAATACTACAAATCTTATACAAAATCTTACAAATATGTATTTGGTAAAACTTTGACATAGTTTTATATCAATTTCTTGAGACAGGAACATCAGATAGAACTCTCACAGGTCTCAATCAACTCCTGAGATTCTCATGTTTTAGCCTATACCCCCCTTTCATTTTCCTTTACAGTCCCTTTAAAAATATCTGATTGTCTGAATTTAAAACAAATAAATACAAAGTCCTACATAAATAATGGCATCTAACCCTTTCTCTGCCACTGCGAACTAGAAATAAAAGAAGGTCAGGCAGTGGTACCACTTTACAACCTTGATGCTCCTGTAGTATTGATTTTATGCCAAGAGCAAAGTAAATCTAACAGTATTGTTCTTCTCAATAGCTTTTTATTAGAGGAGTTATGATTGAAAAAAATATAATATATCAATCTTACTTTTTATTTACTTTAGTTTGACGTAGCTGTAGAGTAGTGTAGGGGGGATTGATTCTTAAGAATAGACTCCTGCTTATGATTCGCAAACAAAAATAGACATATCTGACAATTTGTTTAATATTCGATGATATGTACAAAAAAAATAACGTAGGATTAAACAAGAAACTTTAAAACTCTTGTTTATCAATAGAAAGAGGGGTGGAGTGCGTCCAAAAAAAAGTAATTTGTAAACATGTCTGCAGCATGAGATTAATTATTAAAAAAGAAAAAAATCATGGTTTGAGGTGGGCATCGTTGGTCGCATTTTCAAAAAAAACTATTGTAGACATTTTCTTTCGGAGTTTTACTTTGAGGTCTATAAACCTTGCCGTTTATTGGATTCCAAAGAGACACCCAGACATACAAAGTATAAATCTAAATTCACTATTTGTACTCTGTATAGCTCAAAAATTTGCTTTTATTAAATATTTAAAATTTCTAATCCGACAAAGGAATAATAAAAAGTTTAACAAGTTAAGAAATTACTTGCATGTTTTGTTTGGACCTAATGTCTGAGAAACCAATGGGCACGATATGAAATCAAACTTATCAAGCATACAATTTTAAAATTTGATAAAAATATCGAATTTTTGTGAATTCACTTAAAGATAAACATTGTTAAATTAATGCAAATTCGATGTCCATCTCTAATAAAGGGTGCTAGGTATAACATGGTAGTCGTGAAGAAGTTTGAACAAAAGTGTTTACTCAGGTCTCAGGGCCTGTTTTTTTATTTATAACAATAAAACACAGAATCATGATAATATATAATGGTCTGATCTCGGTTAATTAGACAGGGTGAGCAAAATCATAATAAATTCTTTCCAAGTTTTAATACAGAAATAACGAAATAAACTTGAATGTTTTGATGGGACAAAATATCCAAGTTTTTGCCACAAACTCAAATTTTGTAATCCCCTTTTCTTTACAGCTGTTAACGAAATTAGGTTGCAAAGATAAGGGTATTAGCTCCTTTAAATATCTTATAAGAACTTCGCAGAGAATTTTAAAGATTTAAAGAATATTTAAAGATTTAAAGTAACCTTATAGTGGCAATTTTCAAATGAAAATTTTTACGAATATGTACAAAATAATTATCTACAACTATTTAATGGACAGTCAGTTAAAGGTATTTCAATCCAAAATGGTTGATAAACCGTAGTTTGATAAACATTTCAATTTCCAAAAAAAAATAATTGTACAAATTTGTGTAGTTTTTTTTAGATGAAATGCGGAAATTAAATAAGTTTTTGTCTAAAATTTAAATTTTCTAATTTCTATCTGTGGATGTTGTTTTACTTTATCGATGGGGCATTAATGTTGGTCACTAGGCAGTTAAAATATTAATTAAATACTAATAGACATTTTGCAGTCCACCCTCAACTGAGCTGTCGGTGTGTACTGCATTAATTTGCAGTACACTTACCAAACAAATAGTAAGCTTTAGTAGGGAGTAAGTCTTTTTTTGGAATCTTGCGGGCTTATAGCATAACAAACTTTTTAGAATCACTCAGAAATGAAAATTTTCTTCTTTTCTTCTTCTTTTTTTTCGAGGGGGGGGGGTGTCCCATAGAATTCCTTTCTGTATTGTTGGGACTGTTAGTGTGTGGTCGGATTGGTTTTAGACTTTAATGCATTTATTGGTCCTTGTTAAATATCTTTATAGTATAGTTTAGAGGCAGTTATAGAAAGTAAAATATAGATTTATCTGATTTATCTTTAAAATACTAGGCTTCAAGGGAGCTTCGCGCCAATTCATAATTTTAACTTATAATTGCAGTGGCTTTATCTTAACAAACAAAAAGTTCGCGAATTTAAAATATTTTTTCGCGCATTTTTTTTATTTCACAAAAATCAAAAGCTTTTTGATACAACTTTTTGTAATTCTGAGCATCCATAAACCTTTTCTGGGGTCATGCGAGGTCCCACACAAAATTTGAGCCCGATTGGTTTAGCCGTTTTGGTGGCTATTGGATACAAACGTCCAAACAACTGAACCGATCGGACCCAAATTTTACCCCAGGGAATGCTCAAAATTACAATAAATTGTGCCCAAAAGTTTTGATTTGAAAAAATAATTTCAAATGCGCGAAACAATTTTAATAAATCCACAAACGTTTTTCTTATTGTTTTATATTTTAAAAAATCAATAAAATTGAATTGTGTTGATTCTTGCAAAAACATTTTGTCTGGAGTTTCAGCTCGGTTTTTAAATAACCGAGCTAATCTTGAAACCGACATTAAATCTCGTTGTAAACTTCTTAACTCCAAGCTCAGAATGAGATTGAAAGTTTTTACTTGTTAAATCGTTTTCAGATGTTGTATTTTCTTTCAGTGCATTTGAACATATGACGTAGAAAGAATTATCTCGGGACAGAATTTGATGAATTTAAACTGCCTTAATCCTCAACTTTATCTTTGAATCGGTGGTTCAAATTTAAACCGGCAATTAGAGGTAATTCAGGAACGTAGCTCAACAACATTAAATGGTTTCAAATAATAAATAAATAAATTAATGAATGAAGAGAGAAGTAGTTTAACTCCATAGACTAAATTGAATCACTTCTCTTCTGCTTAACCCGACACACAAGAGAACTGGCTGAACCGGCGTTACTTGGTTCAACCCTTTCTCCCTATTTATTGAATCTGGTCTCTGTACATCATTATAATTAATAATGTATGAATACGAGAATTTTTTAGATTAACAATTTAGCCTGCGAAGTAGACATGGATTAAATATATTTTCACTGTCCAGGCTATAGCTAGCTTGAGAAGACTTGTGTGAATCATATGAAATACGATAATCATCCCCCGTTCTCTCTTTTACAAAGAAACTGAGTTTTCCCACAACTTAATCTCCATATTTTTTAAACCTAATGGTTTAAACCTTTGAAATTTCAAACTTCAAACTTTATGATCTACTCCGGGTTTCAAAGATATAAAGATTAGAAAATCAGAGTTTGAGGCAAAAACTCAATTACTTAATGTCCAACAAAATCCTTGTAAAAATTTCAGAATAAAAACGCAGTCTTTCTTCCTTAATTCTTTTCTAATAATTTTGATGATAAAGATGTTTAAATAGGGTAGATGGATGGTTCAACAAGAGGGACTGTTTAGCTAGCTAGGCAGGAACCTGATTTCGTGCAAATTTAAATTCATGCAACGGCCTTAAACTTGAAGGCTGGCGACGAGAGAAAAAGAGGGAGGGGGGAGGGGTGAAATGAAATTCCATTTTAGGAAATATTTTATTTTTTAAATCTTACATACCCCGTCCCCATTATTGGCCCTACTTTTGAATTTAATTTTTGATTTCATAAAGTTTCAGCTAATTGTAATCAATAATTTTTAAGAAACATTTCTTTTACAGAAAAAAAGTTCACAATCAAAATGTTTGTTGTTCTCATCATATCGTCCTTTTCGTTATTAGACAATTTCTCTGCATGATTTAATCAGGTAACCAGTACACTGTACATATTATCCTGTATACTGTACACAATATCCTGTATACTGTACATATTATCCTGTATACTGTACTCAATATCCTGTATACTAAACACAATATCCTGTTTACCACACACAATATCCTGTATGCTGTACACAATATCCTGTATACTGTACACAATATCCTGTATACTGTACACAATATCCTGTATACTGTACACAATATCCTGTATACTGTACACAATATCCTGTATACTGTACATATTATCCTGTATACTGTACTCAATATCCTTTATATGGTACACAATATCCTGTACACTACACACAATATCCTGTATACTGTACACACCATTCTGTATACTGTACACAATATCCTTTATACTGTAAACAAAATATCCTGTATACTGTACACAATATCCTTTATATTGTACACAATATCCTGTATACTATACACAATATCCTGTATACTACACACAATATCCTGTATACTGTACACAATATTCTGTATACTGTACACAATATCCTGTACACTGTAGTACATGATATCCCGTTTACTGTACACAATATCCTGTACACTGTACACAAAATCCTGTACACTGTACACAAAATCCTGTACACTGTACACAATTTCCTGTACAATGTAAACAATATCCTGTACACTATTCACAATATCCCCTAAACTGTACACAATATCCAGTTTACTGTACACAATATCCAGTACACTGTACACAATATCCAGTACAATGTACACAATATCCTTTACAATGTACACAATAGCCTGTACACTGTACAAAATATCCTGCACAATGCACACAGTATCCTGTGCACTGTACACAATATCCTGTACAATGTACACAATATCCTGTAAACCGTACACAATATTTAATAACACTATCAACCATGATCATTCATTAAATTGATGCATCATGCAAATATATAGATTGAGGGACACTGATTAAAACCAGACCAGATAGATCAATATATTATTAGACATATAGACAAAAAAAAATTTGCAAAAAAATAGACAAATATGCAGGTGGACAAATAGACAGACAAAAAAATTACAGACAGACAAATATACTGATAGACAAATATGCGGATAGAAAGATTGACAGCTGGTCAGAATGACAGTTAGACAAATGGACAGATGAACAAATATAGATCCTAGACAAATAGAAAAATATACATATAGATACAAAGACAAATAGACAGATGGGCATTAGACAACAATACCGACAGTTAAACATTCCGATAGACAATAGACGGTTAGAAAAATAGACTGGGAGATAGATTAGGTACAGATAGACAAATAGACAGATTTACAAATTTAGCTGTAGTTAGAGATATAAAAATAGACACTCATATGATCAGTCACCCCTAAGATATAGAAAACGAAAACATTAAATGACATTAGAACAGTGAGATTTTAGTAGTTTCCAGAATAATGAAGTGTTTGAAAGAATAAGATATATTTGCAAGGTTAACATAGTAAAATGACATTTCTATTTTAAGCTGTATGAGCGTAGTGGTTTATACACCGGTATAAGAAATCTTAACATTTTGTATGTGTTTTTTTTAACAGTTATTTTTGAATTTTAATTTTGACAACATTAAAAAAATAGCAGCGATTTTATTCTCTAGCTGTTGTATATTCGTTTTAGCCTGATCATTAGCTGATCCACAAGTTGCTCTCAGGAAAAAATCGATGAGAATTTTGAAAACTAAAGCTAAAGGCAATTGTTTTATAGTTCTAAAATGTAACAAGTATATAAGGCCAAGAACTTAAAAGTCGAAAAAGGCTTGAAAATTGACCCAACTTTTCACTTTAGTCTAGATCTATGTGATATTTAATAAGCTGTATGAGATTGCCATGACAAGAATGTTCATCTGGTTTTGAACAAAAAGTTTGTAATTTCGAAATGAAAGAGAGCATGTGTAACATTTGATTTTATGTAGGTTACGAACCTAACATATTTTTCTCTGATAATTCTTTCAGATCTGAGATTTCTCAAAACTGATTTTAGAAATGTTTAAGTTCATGAAAATCTTGCAAACCAAAATGCATAGAACTTGAATTAACGCGAATTCGCAAAAGGAGAACAATTTGTGCATTTAACTCATCACGGGCGAATTTGCATGTGCAATTTACATCTACAGGGTTTGCAAAAATGTAAAAAAATTAAATTTGAAAATAAGTTGTGAATCGATTAGAAATGTTATAATTTCTCTCAGATGTTTCTGTAATGTGAATTTAAAATAAATTTTATTCTGCGATTTTCTTTAGTTTATCTCTGTCTTATAAGAGTTAAAAATAGACTTAAAACTTAACTTTTGTCCTTAATACGATCGCACTGTAACAAATATCGTAGCAAACCCTATATTTGTAAACCTGAACATACATTACATTGTACATTGTCTGTAATCTAAATGCGCTTGTAAATAATTACGCAAAATCTTGTATTGCAATTAACCTAATCTAGCTACGTCTGTTAATAACTAAGTCAAACCTGTACTGCGGTTAGCAAAACTGTAACATATAAATCAAAATAAACGTCAGTTGTAAAAATATACCGCTTTGATTATACAGTGTGAGAGTGATTCTTCTTAGTTAGCGAAAGAGAAGCGTCCTGAACCACTTTTTTGAAAGATAGATATAGATTGGGAATAACAATGAGTTGTATCTTGAAACATAGATACCTAAGCATATGGAAGAATATGCCTGGATTATTATACCACGTGGATTAAGGAGAGGGATTGAGTTGCACCTGGATTGGTACTAATTTAAAAGTATTCCTAGGAGTAGGCATTTACTACAGCACAAGTGTTTCAGTGCAAGTCATGTTTTAGTTATGGAGAATAACTTGTAATAAGTATACGAATATGAAGGATTTGAATCGCAGCAGGCATGAAAAGCCTATTTTTAAATAAAGTATACACATTAGAATAAATTAGTAAATTCAAAGGCATTCTTTGATACACTCTAGATATTATGTTGATATTTTTGATAATTGGTAAAGACGTATCAATCTCATATTTAGAGAAAGATTTAGGCAGTCAATTTGTTGTTCTGAATTCTGAAACTTAGATCGGGATAGGGTTAAACGTTGAAACCCATCCAGCTTCTTGCAAAAAATCCACGTGATCAGCTGTTGAATATTGCAAAAAATCTACCTGATCAACTGTTTAATGTATGTGTTTACTAACTAGTATTGTCGGATAGAATCTTAAATTTATCTTCAGTGTCAACTATACATTACATTACTCTTAACGTCAAGTATTTAAAAGTCCTTGGCCGGGAGAAATGTTTTCCAACTGTGCATGCTGAACTAAAGTTATCTTGGTCGGGAGAAATGTTTTCAAACTGTGCACGCTGAACTAAAGTTATCTTGGCAGGGAGAAATGTTTTCAAACTGTGCACGCTGAACTAAAGTTATCTTGGTCGGGAGAAATGTTTTCAAACTGTGCACGCTGAACTAAAGTTATCTTGGCAGGGAGAAATGTTTTCAAACTGTGCACGCTGAACTAAAGTTATCTTGGCAGGGAGAAATGTTTTCAAACTATGCACGCTGAACTAAAGTTATCTTGGCAGGGAGAAATGTTTTCAAACTATGCACGCTGAACTAAAGTTATCTTGGTCTGGAGAAATTTTTCAAAGTGTGCACGCTGAGCTAAAGTTATCTTGGTCTGGAGAAATGTTTTCAAGTTGTGCACGCTGAAATACATTTTTATTGGTCAGGAGAAATTTTTTTGAACTGTGCATTCTGAACTAAAGTTATTTACTTTAAATCTTTCAACAATGACAAATGAAGGTGTTATGATGATGCAATGGCGTACCTTTACTTTTATAATGTTAAATTATGTTTAAACAGGTCAGAAGAAAAAAACGAATATATTGGCACGAAGCTCACTAGATACGCATATATAATTATTAACAATTGATTGACGATGTTGAAGGGAAAATATTCAGATGAAAATTTTAAGATATTTTTCTCAATCTCCATTTTTTTCTTTCAAACGTCGTCGGTAAATACTATGGGCCGCCCTTCCTTCTCCCTTCTTTCCTTTTCTTCCTTCAGAGCCCGGAAAAAATCGTTCTCTGCCATCCTAGTACAATGATAATAACAATATTAATAATAAAAAGAAATAATATAAGGATACTAAGTTACTTGACTGGATCAATCTGTATATTTTTATCTTTAGCAGCTCCCACTAGTAGACCAGATTCTATAGCGTTCTTCATTACTAACTTAGATCTGTTCCTTAGTGTTGCTTCCTGAAAATACAGATAAAACAATTTTCACAAACTCTAATTTTTGTAATCCCTAAATCTTTGTAACCTAATGTCGCAGCTGGTTTAAAATAGTAAAAGTTTAGACAATCAGGTAACAAAGATAAAGGAATTTAAGAAATTTACACAAATTAGAGTTTGAATAGAGTTTTCAGTTCCTTCAGAAATAAACATGTTTCTTCAAATTTTTAAACTTACTTTATTTATTCCACTTAGAATTTTCTCTCTTTTAGACTCTCTTTCAAACAAATTTAGAACCTAACAATACAAATTCAAAATCATTTTTATAACAGGAGAAATTGAGTCTTAGTCACAAACTCTGAGTTTTTATTCCTTGTATCTTTGGAACCCAATGTCATAAACCTTAGATATTTCAAACAATAAGATCAAATAATCTAAATTTGAAATATCAATGAAGTACAGCATCAGGTTGAAAGTAGGGATTAGAAAATAGAGTTTGTTACAAAGATTCCACTATTTTTAGATATTTTATAGTTACCCAAGCTTTTTCCGCCTTATTGCACTTCACTAAGATTAACAAAAATATTATTTTGTCTTTAATATTAAATTTTTAATGATGTAATAAAATGTTATTTCTTTCGTATCGACCTAGTGTTTAAAATATCCAAGGGTGTGTCAGTTAAAGTATTCAACTTGTTTGATTGAATCTAAATTTTGCCGTATTGAATGTTGCATATCAGCATGCAATTTAGATTTTCATGTTCGTAGCATCAAACCCTTCTTTGTCAGGTTTACGTAATTTTGTATTTTATGAAAATATCCACATCAACCCATCTGCATTCACTCTTAAAGGGAGTGTTCGCGAAAAATGAAAGGGGGTATAGGCTTAGTGCGATAAAAAAGCGCTTTTGATCTCTACTAATCTCACTTCTATCTGTTGAGTCTATAAGGAGAAAATTGTTAAAGACGTCTCATACCGAATAACTTAGCGGCAATACAAATTGAAAAAATTGCAACATACTACTTAGACCGTAAAAAATCAATTTAATTTCAAAGAAATCATTTAGATATTACAACCTATAGTCATCGATTATCTTTCGCCACATTTGTATATAGTTAATATTTTATAATATTTTATTTTTTAGAAAACATTTTCAACGGATTTCGAAAATTGTGAGTGGTGTGCGGCATTCTTAGATAGTTGCGCAAGCGACAAGAGAAACAAACAAATTAATTTTTTCACATCAACCCATCTGCATTCACTCTTAACCCTCCACATCAACCCATCTGCATTTACTCTCAACCCTTCACATCAACCCATCTGCATTCACTCTCAATCCTTCACATCAACCCATCTGCATTCACTCTCAACCCTTCAAATCAACCCATCTGCATTCACTCTCAACCCTTCACATCAACCCATCTGCATTCACTCTCAACCCTCCACATCAACCCATCTTGCATTCACTCTGAACCCTTCACATCAACCCATCTGCATTCTCTCTCAACCCTTTACATCAACCCATCTGCATTCACTCTTAACCCTTCACATCAACCCATCTGCATTCACTCTCAACCCTTCAAATCAACCCATCTGCATTCACTCTCAATCCTTCACATCAACCCATCTGCATTCACTCTCAACCCTCCACATCAACCCATCTTGTATTCACTCTCAACCCTTCACATCAACCCATCTGCATTCACTATCACGCCTTCACACCAACCCATCTGCATTCACTCTCAACCCTTCACATCAACCCATCTGCATTCACTCTCAACCCTTCACATCAACCCATCTGCATTCACTCTCAACCCTTCACATCAAACCATCTGCATTCACTCTCAACCCGTCTACATTCACTCTCAACCCATCTACATTCACTCTCAACCCTTCAAAACGATCTTTAAGCGACTGAAAACGAAATAATGACCCTCAAATTATAAAAAAACAGAATGATGTTTGTAATTGTAACAACTAAACAGTATTCGGTACAAAATGTATTAGTTTTATGGAAATAAAATTGTTTCTGTTTGTCTCTTCTCTTTCTGTTTTAAAAAAATACAAGGATATATTCCTCATTTAATTCTGCTTGGACATTTCAAGTGTACCGTTGTGAATCGGAAATTGAGGGTCACACTCACGTTTTACATTTATTTGACCAAAATTCGTACATTTTTCATTTGTATGTTCTGTTATGGAAAACCCCTATCCAATTTATTCCTTTAAAGTGCAGCCCTGAATCCACAAATTTAATTAAAATATACTTGGGACATTTATTGACTTTATCACTGCATTTTCCAGATAAATGCCATTTAGATTGTGTGTAGGATGGTGAAAAAAATCTGAAAAAAGGGTGAAATAAAATAAATCTTTTGTTCCCTAGTGAATCTGAAACCTGTAACAGATGCACACACCCTTCCTCGCCTTTATAAAGTTAAAAAAATGAAGACTTCCAATTAGAGAATATATCTTTTCTATAACACTTAATTTTGTATTTTATGAAAATATCCACATCAACCCATCTGCATTCATCCTGTATACTACACACAATATCCTGTATACTGTACACAATATTCTGTATACTGTACACAATATNGGGGCAAATCATGTTTTTGGAAGCTTTACTAATAATAATAAATTATTTTTTTCTCCTAAGTAATTGAGTCTTTGCCACAAGCTCTGATTTACTATTATCTATATGATTTAAAATTTGGTGATGGTGATGGACCAAACCTCTGTAGAGTAAAAAAAAATAGATGTTAGTTCCACATTTATTGAAATTATGTTTCGGTCTGGGTTGACCCTCGTCATTTCTTGAGATTGTTTCTGTCACAAAGATTAAAAACATTATCAAAATGTTTGCAACCCAATGTCCCAGACCTATATTACAAACTATGAATTCTGTTAGATCAAATAACGCGAGTTTGAAATACCAAAGGTTTACACCATCAGATTGAAAAATTTAGCTATTAGAAAATTTGATTTTGTTGCAAAGACTCAGTTCTCTTAGATCTTGAATCAAAATTTGCGAACTTAAAATTTTTTTAAGTAAATTCAAATATTCAAACAATACCCCCGGCACAGAGCAGATCTCCTTCTTCCTAAAAAAAATAAAAAAAACATTAAAATTATTCTTCAAATTTAAATCTAAAGTAAAATTACGAACTAAAGTTTTAATTCTTTATTTCAAAGTATTTGTGTTTACGAGAAACACAATCCCCCCCACCCCTATCCCCATATAAAAACTGTTGATTTAACTATTTAAAAAGAAAATTCATTTTTTAATTAAAAACTGTTGTCAGTGCTAAGGATCCGGATCATTTGGATTCGCAACATTCAAGATCCCCGGCATACGGCTCCGGAGTCCGTATTCGCGAATATATGCCGTATCCAAATCATTGGAGTAAAATGTTTTGCTCACAAAACTCATATTTTTATTTCCGACCTGTAGAATTATCATAAAACAATAATTAAAGAATAAATCAAATTTTATAGATTCGTAAAATAAATTAGCAAAACTTTAATATAATCATAAGCTGGATAAACTTATTTTATTTTTAAGGAAGGATCTAGGATCAGTATTGGATCTAGGATCAGTATTGGATCTAGGATCAGTATTGGATCTAGGATCAGCATTGGATCAGTATTGGATCTGGAACCGAATCAAAATGAAATGGATTTTCTAAGCATTGAGTACTGTACTGGGTATATAATACCTGTATTGAGTACTGTACTGGGTATATAATACCTGTATTGAGTACTGTACTGGGTATATAATACCTGTATTGAGTACTGTACTGGGTATATAATACCTGTATTGAGTACTGTACTGGGTATATAATACCTGTATTGAGTACTGTACTGGGTATATAATACCTGTATTGAGTACTGTACTGGGTATATAATACCTGTATTGAGTACTGTACTGGGTATATAANCCTCCACCCTTGTTTTCTTTCTATTTTTCAAGGGCTTTTCAAAGGAATAATTTTAAGATATGCAGATCAAATAAAAGCGTTACTGAGTATTTTTGATTTTTCTGAAACACCTACGTTGCCATTTGTCCATCTTCCTCCCACCTTATCCTCCGGGGTCCCCCCATCTCATCTGGGGTAGGGTTAAGGATACATTTACAAATGTTTCTCATGAAGAGACATAATTTCGTGCTTTAAAACCCCATTCTCAGTCTTTATTAATCTATTTTATTTGTTTAAAAATATCTTAATTTAATAAACATGAGGTTGAATTTAAAGAATTTGAGCCGCAGCTTAAATTTAAGCCGCGGCTCAAATATGGTTGGTTCCACTTAAAATTGTATTCAATATTTAAGATTTAAGCCGGCGCTCAAATGAAACGGTTTTTTTTGCAGATTTAAGCCGCGGCTCAAATTCATTAAATTCGGACAATGGTAACCCAAAATGCAACTTTACAAACGACTTAAATCTCTGCCAGACTTAAAGGAATTTTACACGTAATTTCAAGAGAGTTAGGATTCAGAACGGTATTCCCTTCACATCGATGTCTGATCAAGTATATTTTCAGGTTTCTCTTTGAAAACTTATTATTTCAACAGTGGTTCCTCTATCAAAGTTAGTTGCTGATCAGATAAAGATTAAAGGGCACCTTCATGTAAATCAGGCTGCTTCACTTTAAAGAACAGATCGCTTGAAATTACATCGACAGTCCCTTTAAGAAATGGAGTTCAACTATTAGTACTTAGTTCAACTCCTAACTATTCAAAAATTCAGATTTCATAAAATTGTGTTTTAGAAGATTTAATTGCTTAATATATTCCTGGAAACAAATCTCTTAAACGTAAAAACTGAAATCCAGTTTTGTAATGAGAACTGTGTATGTATGGAGGAAGGGCTTACACAATTTTTCTTTTTACGCAAATATGTTTTATTTTACAAAGTAATTTACATTTGTAAAAATTAGAAATGTAAAAATTAGGTTTACCATTAAAAAAAAAGAAGGATGTATTGTGTCTGATAAATTCTAAATGATACTTTTATTGCTTTGATGATTTTTGATAAGAATGTTGTATTTTTTATCGAAATTTGTCTTCTGGCAATCGTGAGCATATGTTCTCACAATTTCTTTGTACATTTGCAGGCATGGCAACTGTAACGCAAAAAACGAAAATTAAATTTTTTCCTAAAAATCATTCGAAATTATCTGATAAAAATATAAAAGTCCTAACATAACCCTAAGACCAACTTTTTCTTTCTGCAAAAGTGCACTTAATGTCACCTCAAAATTTCTGAACTCCAAAGAAAAAGAATAGTTTACAAAATTGTTTTAAAAAAGAGCTAACTGATTCGATCAAAAATAACATTGAATGACATCAAGTGTTAAAAACGTTATAAAATAATCCAAGAGCTGGTCACCAATCGTCACCAACATGCCAAAAGCTTGTCATCAAAATGCCAAGAGCGTGTCACCAACATGCCAAGAGCTTGTTACCAACATGCCATAAGCTCTACACATATAGGCCAAGAGTTCGTCACTAACATGACAAATGCTCGTCACCAACATGCCAAGAGCTCGTCGCCTAATATTCATAAAAACCGTATTTCCTTCCGTGTAATATACCTGTTGGTTTCTCAATACCACAGTTTAAACTTATCAGAGGGCTTTCATCAATATCTTCACTCCAAATCTTAAAATTACAAAAATCAAAAAAAAATCCGCATGTTATTTATATTTAGCTAAAATTTGGTTGAAAACTAGTTGAAAGTCATAAAACTAGTATTAACCTACTTTACAGAAATTTAGTAAAATATGAGAGAGGAAAAAGTAGAAACCGCGTATAATTAACCAACTTCTGCAAATGCAATGAGTGTATTCAAAACCTGAATTAACATAGTAATTGGAAACCAAATGTAGCTGTATTCACATACTTAAAGAGACTGTAGACATAGCCCTTTTCTGAATTAACAATGAGACAGATATTGCGGTTTATCTGCATGGAAAAGATAAAAAATCTATTATATGGAAAATTGAAAAATCAATTTTTAGATAAAAAAGAGATAACTCCATAATGTGGGTGCAGACGAAAGGATACCAGTATATTTCGGACATACAACCTTTAAACTGGTTTGTTAATTGAAATTTTGTTTCCTGAACTGAAAACTTTTTAATGGTGAATATCGGGATTAATGCTTGATCCACTCTTTTTCTTAATCTCGAGATTAAATAATATACAATTGTTCTCCTCTCTTGTCATTGATTTTCAGTTTTAGTTAACCGATCGGGATTAAGGATATCCAAAGTTTTTCTCCCAGACCTTTTAAGGTTGAGAAAGAATCCTATACATCGGGTTTCACTTTTGAGCATTTGATACGAAACCAACAATTTACCAAAAATTTGATGCATCAATTTCATAACCTTTTTAATCACTGTGCCCTACCTTAGCTGTATAATCTCCGACAGTTAAAAAGTTTTTAGGAAATATTTTACATCGTTGAAGAGCAACAATATCCCCAGTATGAGCACTGTATCTAAATATATAGAAATATAGAAACAAAATCAAAATATAAAAAAAATAGTTTAGAGATTGGCGAAACAATTTCAAGTGACCCTTAAAATAGAAAAATGTCTAATTTATAAAATTCCCTTTAAGCTTTTTCTTGATCAAGGTATCAAAATACCCAGAAATTTCTAGCTAAACATTGATTATTTTCAATAGTGGTTTCCCCGTAAAAATATGTGCGCATTTATATTAATAGAAACATAGAAACAAATTAAAATATTGCATAAATTTTTTGGGACAGAAAAATGACGATATCTGCCAAATTATCACTTATTTAGAGGCATACGCGGGCAAGACGTAGTGCATCAGACATGCCACTTTTTATAGGACCACTACCACTTGAAATTATATCTACAGTCCCTTTAAATAATCAAACCTTTTTCCAAAAACTTCCGGCTGGCTTCTTGCTTTCTTCGAACAGTTTAGAATAACACCCTAGAAAAATAAATTATTTCAATGATACATTTTTTACCATGTCCATAATTAATATCCGCAGTGGATGCTTTTCATGTGGCCATTAAGTGCTACCAAGCGTATAGTTTTAAGTGACCCCCACGCAAAGATGGAAATGCTCGATTCACAACGGTACCCTAGAAACCTTTGACTGATAAAGTATAAATTAGATATCAATATTTGTCCCTTTAAATACAGGGTTACCAAGAAATGATGAGAATGTAAAGACGACCCAAAACTTTAAAAATTAGACGATTTGAAGCTTTATTTTTGGCTTCGGCATGCAAATGAGAGCATTTTGATGGGTTATCAAATGATTAAGCACAGAAATAATCCAGTTTTGGCCTACAAGAAATCCCGAATTTAAAAAAACGGACTACACAAATTCCGAATAATCGGCTCTGAAGTCTAATTCTTTTTGGGTAACCCTGTATGTGAAACAACAACTGTCGACCAGAGTTTTGCAGTCTTCCAATTTCTTAAGGAATCTGTTGGGCCAATATAGATTCGGATAAGTGATTTGAAAAGGGATTTCCAAAGTTCTGAACTCTGGAATGAATAGATTTTTGTCAAGTTGATTAGATTTAAAGTTGACCTGTGAAGTGGCGACCATGTATTTAGCTGGTATGGTGTGTTCGTACTCCAGTACGCTACCTTCCAGTGCAGCGTCAATATCTCCTGGGCTCCGAGTATCCTTGTTTTCTATATCAAGGATCAGGGTTTCCTACAAGATCAAGGATCAGGGTTTCCTACAAGATCAAGAGTCAAGGTTTTCTACAAGATCAAGGATCAGGGTGTCAAGATCAAGTATTAAGGTTTTCTACAAGAGGAAGGATCAGGGTCTCCTATAACAAGATCAAGGAACTTATTAGTCTAATTTTATAATCAGGGTGCAAAGATATAGGATTGAAAAATTAGAGTTTGAGGTGATCGATCATTAAGTATTGTCGACAGTTTTATCGATAAAGAGTAATGAAACGTCACTGAATCGAAACATATCTTTCTTTCAATCCAGTTTTTCTAAAGAGAAAATTGTGTATATATTTATAACTTCTCAATTCTCAATTTTTTTTCTTATTTCCTTCTCTTCCTTTCAGTCATGGGCCTTGTTTTTTTTAATTAATAAAGTTCCGCTTACATGCAGTTAATTAAATCTTGAATGAGTCTATTCAAATACTAGGCATTAGTATGTTTGGTGTGATGCAAGTATTTTTCGATGGCAAAGATTGACCTTCTGAATAAGAAGCAAGAATACTACAGTGAAACCCTTAATAACGAATACATCAGAAGAATTTATCAAATGTCGTCTTGACAATTTTTCAATGAGTTTTATACTATATTACGTAAATTTCAGTATTTGCGAAAATATATAAATAGCCATAAATATGCGGGAACAGTTTTAAAGAGTTCCATATAATAATTTAATTAAAATACTAAATATCTGCAACATTCCATTATCAGAAAGTGAAGAATACGACATTTGATGAATTCTTTCGATGTATTCTTTATTAAGGGTTTCACTTCCTTTTTAAAAATCAAGTCTCCTTTAAAGGGACTGTAAGCGTAGTTTCAACTGACTCTTGAGTCTCCATGTAAAGATGGCAATGTTCGATTTACAACGGTACCCTTGAATATTTGCGTATTTCTTGATTATAGAAAAAATAAAGGAGAAACTTCCAGAAATAAACAATTTTCGAGTAAAAAAACGACGTTATCTTCATCTTTCTTGATCAGATTATGTTTTCAAGGGATCCATTGTAATTCGGGCATTGCATGGAGGGTCACTTGAAATTACGCTTACAGTCCCTTTCCTTTGAATTTTATTATTTTGGTTCTGCTATGGGCAGGTTGTTTATAAGGGGTATAATAAGCGGTTAATTAACGGGGTTAATTATAACTTTGGATTAATAAATTAGTTAATTAATTAATGATGAATCTAAATGTTAAAATTGAGAATAATTATGCTTACCAAGAGAATCAGATAACACTGTAAAGGCTCCATTTCAACCCAAATATACAGTTAAAAAGGTGTTATTTAAACAGATTGAAGAGGGTGTCCACAAATTTCAGAATATTTTTAAAAAATGTTTAAAGGGATTGTTCCCTTATTTTTAAAATTCGCCTCGTACCACAATTTTTGGAATGAGGAACATAATTGAATCTATTTTACCGCTCAAAGGTGTCAAAAAGTTCCAGAGTTTTTCGAAACTTTAAGCCAAAATTGCCATTTCCATCGCAGTTTTGCCTAATAAAGCTAAAAGCTAAATGGCTTTTATTTGTTATTATAAAAGCCAAAAAGCTGAAACCTACCAATAACTAATTAAAATATGCCAAAAAGCTGAAATGATTTCTTTTCGAAACTCAGGGATTTATTGTTTTCCAGAAAACACATGCTTCCTGTAAATAAGTATTGAAAATGCATCTAAGCGGATTAAAATCAATGAAATATGTTATTCTTTAGTTTTGTAAAAGTTGGAAAATCTATTTATATATTTCATAAATTTTAACTGTTCACATTTTCTTGTTTGTTGGTCCTAAGAATCGATAAAAAGTTCATTGTAAAACCTTTTTTTCTGAATGACCTACAGTTAACAAAATAGGACATGCATGGCTATGCTAATAACAATGTGAACCTAATTCCAAAAATTAGGGTATTTTGAACATTTCAAAAAAAGAAGTAAAATCCATTTTAAAAATTTGGTGGCTTTAATTTGAATTTCTTACAATATTTTCTGATTTTTTGTGATAATTTTTTTAAACACCCTGCCTGTAGTTTGAATACTAATGAGACGAGTTGGAGCTAATTTAATTATCACGTCATAATAATTTACGCATGCTTATATAACTGATATATAGTTTCTTGTTTTAGTAAGCCTACAAGATCGAATATCTTTTCAAAAAGAAATGAGGAATGCTAATGTGAACCCAACTAAGGGTTTCCAGATGTATTTATTGTATTGTACAGTTTATTGCTCCCAGTCGGTGAAATCATGCCAAACAAATGCAATCCAAGAATAAAGCCAAACAATCCAGATCCAGTCCAAGAAAGTATTGAACCCCAAGTATGTTGCAGCCTGAGTATATAATAGGATAGGCTGAGCCAGTCATGGGGTGCAATTTAAACTACCAAGAGGAAATCGAACCCGGAGTATGTTGCAGACTGAGTATATAATTGGATAGGCTGAGCCAGTCATGGGGTGCAATTTAAACTACCAAGAGAAAATCAAGCCCCGAGTATGTTGCAGCCTGAGTATATAATTGGATAGGCTGAGCCAGTCATGGGGTGCAATTTAAACTACCAAGAGAAAATCAAGCCCCTAGTATGTTGCAGCCTGAGTATATAATAGGATAGGCTGAGCCAGTCATGGGGTGCAATTTAAACTACCAAGAGAAAATCAAGCCCCTAGTATGTTGCAGCCTGAGTATATAATAAAATAGGCTGAGCCAGTCATGGGGTGCAATTTTATCTACCAAGAGGAAATCAAACCCGGAGTATGTTGCAGCCTGAGTATATAATAGGATAGGCTGAGCCGGTCATGGGGTGCAATTTAAACTACCAAGAGAAAATCAAGCCCCGAGTATGTTGCAGCCTGAGTATATAATAGAATAGGCTGAGCCAGTCATGGGGTGCAATTTTATCTACCAAGAGGAAATCAAACCCGGAGTATGTTGCAGACTGAGTATATGACAGGATAGGCCAAGGAGGGTATTGAACCCCCTTCTCATCTGAAGATATCAAGTCGGTCCTGTTTAAAGGGGGGTTTTAATGGCGGAGCTAGGGTAAGATCGATGCTGTAGAAAGGAGTGAAATAGCATTTATCCAGCCGGGGAAGAAAGCAGTGTAGTTGGCAATCTTATCCCCAGGATCCCCCAAAACCTCGTCAGTTAGCACAAAGTATCTGATCAGAAGAGTCAAATGGAAATATATTTGCCCCAGGCGAATATCATGTGTATTTAGATCAACTTTAGTTGGTCCAACAGTAATTGTTTGTATCTTTATAATGTAAATATAGTTTGTTAATGCTTTGTTAATTCACTCAATCTTGGACCCTAGGCTTTTTACTACTGAGTTTTTCAAGTCTATACTAATATAAATCAAATAAAGTGACATTTTTTAGGGGGCGGGGGGGGGTTACTTTTAATGAGCTGTTTATCATGTACGGTCTGTGGTCGTGTTTGTTTTTGAATAGTCTTTAGCATAATTATTATTCATAGAAAATAACAAACCGTAGGTTTGTCAAGGTTCCTGATATCCCACCATTTTATCGTTCCATCTGGACTACAGGTCTGTAGTTCTTTTCCTGATAATACAAGATATAATCATCCAGACTACAGGTCTGTATAGTTCTATTCCTAGATGATACAAGGTATGATCGTCCAAACTACAGGTCTGTAGTTCTATTCCTGATAATACAAGATATAATCATCCGGACTACAGGTCTGTAGTTCTATTCCTGATAATACAAGATATAATCATCCAGACTACAGGTCTGTAGTTCTTTTCCTGATAATACAAGATATAATCATCCGGACTACGTACAGGTCTGGTGTAAAGTATTTATTAGTTATGGAATTAAGTTAGTATAAAGTAGGCAATATGGTAGATATAAAGTAGACATAAGGGAGGTATTAGGTAGGTATAAAGTAGGTATTAGGTAGGTAAAGTAGGTAAGATGGTAGATATAATGTAGACATTATATATAGGGAGGTATTACTAAAGGTATAAAGTAGGAAATATAGTAGGTATTAGGTAGATATAAAGTAGGTATAAGGTAGGTATAGCGTAGAAATTAACTATAAAGCAATAATCAGTGAAGCTTCTCAGTTTTCATATTTATTAAAAACGTAGAAATTAGGTAGGTTTAAAGTAGGTAATATGGTAGACATAATGAAGACATTAGAGAAGTATTAGGTAGGTATAAAGTAGGGAATACAGTAGGTATTAGGGAGGTATAAAGTAGGTATAAAGTAGGTATTAGGTAGGTATAAAGTAGGACTTAGGTAGGTAAAGTAGGTAGGATGGTAGATATAAAGTAGACATTTTATATATATATATATAGGGAGGTATTACTATAGGTATAAAGTAGGGAATATAGTAGATATTAGGTAGGTATAAAGTAGGTATAAGGTAGGTATAACGTAGAAATTAGGTAGGTTTAAAGAAGGTAAAATGGTAGATATAAAGTAGACATTAGTGAGGTATACACAAAGTAGATATTGCAGTTATGAAAAGAAGGGGTAGAAAAATTGTTTCACTATGTCGGAAGTTGAAGTAAAAAATTGTTGAATGTGTTCTTGATTATATTTAATATCGTTCTGGAACCTTATCTATATATATTATAGAGGTGACTTTGCACAATATTAGATTAAACAGGGGGGAACCTAAACCTGCCTCAATATCAATAAACAAGGTTTACAAGCATGGTATGATTAACCAGGTCTAGTTAATTATCTTTCCTGTTCAGTCATATTTACAGAGTTGTGACCTCTTTCTATAATAGTGTATAATATAACATGAATAATCTAAATATGTATGAATATAAAAGATCCCACCGACCAGGATGATTAATGATCCAAAATGTTCAATATATTACAAGGATCGATCGATCATTTTTGGTTTTTAGTTTATGTTTAAAACAGGACAAAATTTCAAATGTTGGGCATATTAATTAGTCATTCTTTTAATAAACAGAGAGATCGACGTCGTTTTCTTGGTTCCTGTCTGTTGTACTCTACTGTACTGTACTGTACTGTACTGTACTGTACTGTACTGTACTGTACTGTACTGTACTGTACTGTACTGTACTGTACTGTACCTTACTGTACTGTACCTTACTGTACTGTATTGTACTGTACTGTACCTGTACTGTACTGTACTGTACTGTACTGTACTGTACTGTACTGTACTGTACTGTACTGTACTGTACTGTACTGTACTGTACTGTACTTTACTGTACCTTACTGTACTGTACTGTACTGTACTGTACCTTACTGTATTGTACCTTACTGTACTGTACCTTACTGTACTGTATTGTACTGTACTGTACCTTACTGTACTGTACCTTACTGTACTATACTTTACTGTACTGTACTGTACTGTACTGTACTGTACTGTAACTTACTGTACTGTACTGTACTTGCACATTTCGGATGCAGAAAACAGGAGAGGACTGATCACAATTTAACTTTTTTCTATGGAGAAACAACGACGATATCTTCCACATCATTGATCAGAGAAATATTTCAAGGATATCGTTGTGAATCGTGTATGCCACTCCTATCATGGAGAGTCACTTGTAATTACGACGACACTACCTTCAGCTTTTTTACTTTGAGCAGAACTTTCAATAATCTGAGATATTTAGTAAATTTTAAAATGGTATTTTCGATAATTTTGCTTTTAATTTAAATCTGAAAACATTTGTTAACAACATTTTTATGCTTGGCATATTTCTTCTGATTAAAATTTTATCCCATTTGGCGTGTTTGTCTGTATCCAATAAACGCCAAAACGGTTAAACCGATCGAGCCCAAATCTTTTGTGGCAACTCACATGACCCTAGGGAACGTTATGGACCGTCAAAGTTGAACAAGGAAAAATACGATTTTTGCAAATATAATAATCTGAATAGAAAAATCTGCTAAAATTTGGAAATGAATAAAAAAACTTTCAGAGCAACAGTTAAAATAAAACTTTAAGAGAATAAAAATTTTAGAACGTTTCACATCTTAATGTCTTTTAAAAGTCTAAAAAACATTTTAGAAGAAACTATGACATCTAAAGGTTTCATGTACCATATGTACCGTATTACCCAAGCATTACCCATGTATGGTCCAATATTACCAAGCTCTTTGGTATTACCTGACTTTACATTGGTCCACACTAACCCGTACACAGGCTCTGTGTGTGAGAACGGTACAGGTACAATGTTCTGTACATGAGATCCAACACGTACATCCCAGACACAAACTTGACCGTTGTACAATCCTCCTGAAAGGGACAATCAAGGTTATTTTCAGGAACCCTTCTTGCTCGATTCACAACGGTTCCCTTTTAACCTTTTTCAGACCAACATGATTTTATTCTATTTGAAAACTGATCATTTCCGTTAATGTCAGAATTTAGTAAAATGAAAATTCGACAATATCGTCCTAATTAGGGTTTCCAGCGAACGAAATGTTCCGCGAAAAAATGCGAAAATTTTCGGTTGCATTTCTCGAAAATGCGAAATACGAAAATATTTTCCCAAAGTGTGAAAACCATGAGTTCCATAGCTGCAACAATTAATTGCTCAAAAGAACTCTATGCTCTAATTCCTCTGATAGCTCAATATTTGAAGTTTTATTATGTTAAATAAATAATTTCTCCTTCTTTACTTTAAGAAATATTTGATGAAAAGAATTTGATTTCACTAGCTATCTTTTTAAGTTTCTGTCTGTCCGTCCACAAAACATATGTTCAATCGTGATTATCGCATTTTATTTCGCAAAATTTTCTATTTCGCGAGAAAAGCGAAAATTTTCACATTTTTCGTGAGCGAGCGAAACGATTTTCCTTTTTGCTGGAAACTCTAGTCCTAATAGTTCCTTAGATAAAGAGTTTACCGTTACTTTAAATGGGTATTTATTTAAAAATACTTTGACATTGAAAAAACGGTCCAACGAAACTAAACGTCTCTTTTAAAGGGATATTTCAACAGGTTTATAAGCTATTTAATTTTGTTAATAATACAGGGTATAAACTTGAGTTAATGTTTATAAATTGCACACGTCCATAGCTAAGAAAACTATCTAAAATACTAGAAAACTTTGGGAGAAGACGACATTAAAACAAAAATTTCGAGTATTTGATGCTATTTCAAAGCAAATAGTTGTATCAGTAACTTATTGAATCATATATTAAGTGAAATGTGTCTGTTCAAAATTCACAATTGCTGCGTCTCGTGTTCATTTTTAATGAATAAAATCATAACTTTAGTCGATAAGTCGTCTTCCTAGTCATGTTCATTGGACTATTCAAGATTATAACTTATTAAAGTCTAATAGTCGTCTTACAATTTCCCAATTTTATGGGTTCCACTGTATGAAATATACTTTATATAATTTTTTTATTAAATTTTTAGAAAAATTATGTTACCTGCAATAATGAACGGAGTACGGCTAAACGCTATTGATGTAACAGGAACAGATGCTGATAGTGCAAGCTGAAATCAAATTTTTAAACCATGCCATCACCATTGTTTGATTTAAAGAAGCAATGGAGAAATGATAAGAATTAAACACTTTTTTAGTCAGAAAAACGACGATATTTTCCATATTTTTGATCAAATAAAGGTTTCGTTGGTACCGTTGTGAATCGGGCAATGTCATTTTTGCAAGTGAGGTTACTCAAAATTACGCTTACAGTCCCTTTAATGATGAACATTCACCTCAAATTTAGTGGGGTCATCAACATTGAAAAGCAAGGCATCAGACACCTCACAAATATCACTAAAGTATACATACGTAAATAATTTTTTATATTTTTATAAGGAGATATGGGTAATTTTTTTAGTACATATCTTAATATAATGTAAATTTTTGCTATAAGTTACAATATACCCCAAGTAAATTCAGCTAAAGTAAAGTAAAGAACAAAATCTTTGGAGAAAAAATGTATATTTTGTGAGTATTTTACTTTAAGAATGAAAGCAAAGAAGACGGAATTGTTATAGCATTTAAGCTTTATCCCATTTGGTATGAAGGGAGAGGGGTAATGTTGTTATGAAGGGGGAGGGGGGTAATGTTGATATGAAGGGCGAGGGGGTTAAAGATTCGAGAATATAAGGGTTTATAATGATTTAATGATTTATGATTAACAATATGAGAACACACTTACTTTTTCAAAAAAAAAAAAAAATTCAGAATAAATAACAGACCTTGGGATTCTGTAGTCCCGAGAACAGTAGGATACCGCTATTCTGGTCAATTTGGAAAAATGTGAAATATTTTATTAAAATAAATATTTTTCATACCTTCATATTTACTTGGCCTAAAACAAAGAAAAGGGGGATGGATAATTAATGTTTACTAACCTTTTCAAAAATTTAAAAAATAATTATATTTTGATCCCTAAAACGTTAAAAGCCTTAACAGAGAATATGATCAAAACTGAAAAGGAGGGGGGAGGGGATAAAGTTAAAATAATAGATAGAAATGCACCAAAAAATTAGTTTTAAATATTTTGCAGCTTTCCTTGAGCCTCCATCTGGTGACCAGCTGATATCACTTTAAAAGAAAAACACATTTTTTAACATTTATTTTAAACAAAAATTCATATCATAACCGTTTATTGAGTAACAAGTCCTATTTAATCGCCTACTCATGAATGAATGATATATCATTAATTTTCAGAATTAAACCGGATTTAACCCTTTTCCTGCTAGGGGGGGGGGTCAATTTGACCCCCCCTGTAGTTTTTTTTAAATAACTCAAAAAGTATTGGTCTGAGGCTGTTGGATTTTTCTGACTTTTCCTACATACCCAAAGCCCTCCCATTAGGCCTAAAACCGGGCTTTAATACTAACTGCCTGAGTCCTCAGGTACACTGCCTGAATGACTGCTTTTTCCTGTAACAAACTAAATCTTTGTTTTGACCCACTTCCACTTGTCAGATTTTGATAAAATTTAGCTTTTTGGAGAGCCTTTGACATAAGGAAATGAATTGCACAAAAAGGAAAAAAATTGCAAATATTTTGCAAACAACCTGTCAAAGGAAATTTGCACATTTATAGTTTTTCTTGATTAAAAATCAGGTTATTTAAAATTTTGCAAAAACTTTTGCATATTTGAAATGGCATGGTCAAGGGCTTTTCAAAAATGTATAATTTTTCATTTTTTGGAAAAAAAATTTTTTGCAAACATTTTTACTATATAACTGGATTTTGCCATAAAAAATTCAATTTTTGCAAATTTGCAAATTTTTTTGCAGATTCTAAAGGTAGAGCACAAGATCTTTCCAATGATGTATCATTTGTCATATTTGGACATCAAACATGGGATTTAGAAATTGACCCCCCCCGTATATCCTGGTTTTCAAGTACCCCAGCAGAGATAGGGTTTAAATCCTTGTTATTATTGTTTTCTTTTTGCCTGACAGGTCTACTTGAAAAATCCAATGTATCCTGAAAAATATTATTATTGAAAAAAATGTGTAAGTAAAAATAAAAAAAAAATTTCAAAAAAGTTTCTAGTTGCCTTAAAAACTGCAAGAGTGTTGACTTTGTAATTATCCGTTCTGGTGGATTCATCTAACTGAAAAAAATCCAGATAGAAGAAAAAATAGAAGAAAAAAAAACTACATTTTATTAATTCTCAAAATCATTATTTGTTAAAATCAAATAAAGAAATACTTTTTTCAAGATAAAACTCAATATTGCTACTTATACTAACTTTCTTATTTTATTCTAGGCAAATAATGATGAATTATTCAGCTGTCCGCCGTACAATAAGTTTCTACTTTTGAGCTGAAAACTTTAATTGATAGAAAGCTTTTAAACGTTTGGTCATTGAGAGAATATATAAGTGAAAATTATTTGACCAGTTCAGAGTTAGTTTCGTTAATTCTTGTTTTTTATCTTTATGTGAAGGGATTAATTTCTGATATTTTTTGGATTAGAGAATCCATTGTTATATTATGTCAAAACACCAAAATCAAAATGCAAAATGAAGTTAACGATTTCAAGATTTATACATGAATTATAAATTATAAATTGTATTTTAATTACTTTTTTTCTGAGTTTAAAAATTTTCACACCACAGCCAATTTTACACACCCTTGAATTCGGATATGCAGGAATGATATCGCAAAAACTGTGTGTGTTTATGGGATTTGCCTATTCAGAATGCACTGTCAACTTCCATAAAATAATAAATATGATTTTAAATATTTTTGAAAAAATATTACCTCGGTAAAATAGTCACCGTAAAGTTCGATAGCATTATTTTGCTGAACTTTCTCCTCCATCAAACTTGCTAAAAAATCAATTTTTCAAATAATGGCAAAAAATACGATGACTTAAAAAGAAGGTGAAACCCTTTTTTGAAACACCCCCCTCCCCCCCCCCTAGCCTCAAGACGAACACTCGCATCAAAATGCATATATATTCCAGATTGCCTTTTTCAGGGAATGTAAATGCTGGTTTCTTCTAAACAATAATTAAGTGCAATCATCATTGAAGTTTTCTTATGATCAAATTGATCATTTTTCCTCAAAAATTTTGATCAATTCTGATCAAGAATTTTAACATTTTATTCTTACACTGCACAAAGTTTAAAAGCTGAAGTTAAAGTTGCCAGTAAAACTTTAAAAAATTGAAGAATTTTGAAAAAAAAAATCAAACGTTTTTTAGCCCATGGGTTCCCTAAAAAAATTCAGCCAATTCGGTTCTGACGTTTTTTCAGCTATAGCTAACATTTAAAAATATAAATGTATCCATATATGATCGAAAGGCTTTGTTATGTATATCAATATAAAATCTTGTTCTGAAATGGTGAAATAATACAGATAGGGTTGCTAATCGTTTTTGAAAACGATCATTAAACGAACGTTTTTTTTCGTTTTCCTATCGTTTTTTGTTTCGTTTTCCGATCATTTTAAAAACAATCGTTTTAAAAAACTTTTTAAAAAAAGATTGTTTTTAAAACGATCGGAAAACGAAACAAAAAACAACAGGAAAACGAAATAAACATCCTTTTTTAAAAAAATGAAAACGTTAACATCCCTAAATACAGAGGCTGACATATATTTCAATACAGTACCCTGAACGGAACTGCTACACAAGAAAGAGTGTTCTGTGTATTTACCAATGAATTATCACGTAATTATAGTTAATATCACCATTTCAGTAACCGACACTGTATTGATATATATGCTGAAAATTAGTCTGTGGCTGACAATTAAAAAAAAACTCTAACCTACTGAGAGTATTGTATCCAAATAGTTTTCGTCCTTCTCTATTTTCTTTAAGAATCGGGCAACCTTTAAGTGTTTGTAAATATAATTAAACCTTTAAAGGGAGTGTTTTTAAATATTAAACCTTTAAAGGGAGTGTTTGTAAATATAATTAAACCTTTAAAGGGAGTGTTTGTATTAAACCTTTAAAGGGAGTGTTTGTAAATATAATTAAACCTTTAAAGGGAGTGTTCGTGAATATTAAACCTTTAAAGGTAGTGTTTGTGAATATTGAACCTTTAAAGGTAGTGTTCGTGAATATTAAACCTTTAAAGGGAGTGTTCGTAAAAATTAAACCTTTAAAGGGAGTGTTCGCGAATATAATACTTTTAAAGGAAATGTTTGAGAATATTACACCTTTAAATGGAGTGTTTGTGAATATCATACCTTTAAATGGAGTGTTTGTGAATATAATTTCTTTAAATGGAGTGTTTGTGAATATCATACCTTTAAATGGAGTGTTTGTGAATATTAAATCTTTAAAGGGAGTGTTCGTAAGTATTAATTAAGTACCCTGATTATCAAATTGAATTTTTACCTGGTCTGAATCCCTAGCATCAATTTCCTTTGGCCACCCACCCTCTCTAAATAAGACATCAGTTTTCTCTTACCACAAAGTATTTGTCAGTCTTGCACAAAACCCAAATATCCGAAGACTAAAATGTATGACGCAATGAGGCATCCTATTTCACATTTAACTAGTTAGAAGAGGATTGATCTTCTGGTGTACCGTCCCGTTTCGCCTTATGTAGCCTTTATGTACGGTTTGATGTAATTGCTTAAAAGTCGGCCTGGTACATGACATATACCGGAGTTAACAGTGTAGAAGGATATGGGGTTTCCGGTGTAATGTCCCGTTATGAAATCACATGGAACCAGTCAGGTTATCGGATGTGCTTAAAACGTACTGGGTCCACCATACACGGGGTACACTAGACAAGCCGGTACGTACACATACTTGAATTGTACCTATGTGACTGTGTTCAAATTTCTCTAGTTCTAAGTGTACTTTAAAGGGACTGTAAGCTTAATTTGAGACTACGTAACTCAACAAACTCACAGTTGAATTTGCAGCTGAATACAAGCAGGTTTCGATAAGTTTAAACACACACATCTCTATACTCGACAAACGCACAATGGTTTTAAGGGTATCTTTGTAAATTCTCTTTGAATGGAGGTTCACTTAAATTTACACTTACAATTAAAATAAACCTCAATAATTACAAGTTGTTCATAATAAAAGCTCAAAATAAAAATAAACCTATTTGTTTACCTATGGTTTACGCTTTTTGATGCCAGCTCTAGCTGTTGATGATTGCATGTAGAGGATCCGAATACTGGTCCAACTTGGCACACTGACCATCCAAACAATTATAGAGATTAAAACTAAATCAGCTGACAGATTTACCAAACCAAATCTTAGTCAGCTGACAAATTTACCAAATCATGTTTTGGTTAACTCACTTATTCAATAAAAATTAAATAGTTGACAATAAACTAAGCCAACCAACTGGCTAAACTCTAATCAATTTGAAGGTTAAATGTAAATGAAATCTTAATCAACAGACCGATTCACCAAACCAAATGTTAATCAAGAGACTGATTCAATGAACTAAATATTAATTAACAGACCGATTTACTAAACCAAATCTTAATCAGCAGACTGATTTACCAAACCAAATCTTGATCAACAGACCGATTTACTAAGCCAAATCTTAATCAACAGACCGATTTACTAAACCATATCTTAATAAACAGACCGATTTACTAAACCAAATTTTAATCAACAGAACGATTTACAAAACCAAATCTTAATCAACAGACTGATTCACCAAACCAAATCATAATCAACTGACCAATTCACTAAGCCAAACCTGGCTATAGCAGACAAAATCCCCAAACCAAATGTATCAGCTGACAAATGTACAAACTAAAATTTCAATCAGCTGACAGATTTTAAAACGCTTGATAGTGAATAGAACAACCAACAATCATTGAAAAACGAAACTTTAATTAACTCACCTTTATTCATTGATTTCTTCAAAACAAATTCTTGATGTAAACCTTAAAAATCATTATACTTTATATTTTTTTCTTTAGATATTTTAAATCATAAATTACATTCAGTAGACTGTTAACTATGTTTTAGAACTTTTAATTCAAATTAGATTTTTGTTAGCACATTAATTTTCTTGCTGAAACTGTATTTTTAAATATTTTTGGGTTGGTAGGAATACAAACATTTAGCTTGGCACCTACATCCTGAATATAGTTTTCTCATAAAAATATAAGAGTTTTTAGAACTATCTCTTGTAAAATTTGATTAAAGGGACTGGTAACCTAATTTCAAGTTACCCTAGTGTTCACAACGTAATGTTAAAAAACTTGAGAATGAAGGAAATGAGGAATAGAATTATATCACAATTAGATGATACCCTAGCTTTCATTCTTAATTTCTATCCAATGTTTCTGTAAAGTGTCTAACCCATGCTCTCTGAAAGGCAGTTAGCTAGTCCAAAGATAGACAAAAATCCAGTTCCCGACTGCGGTTCGGGGGTCTTGAAAAATGTTTTAAATCTTATTCCCTTTACAGAGGATATAAAAAGAAATTAGACTTATTCATTCAAACATTCATGATAAATCCGTTTCATTTTCCCAACCATTTAAAATAATACAAATTATATAATTTTTTTCTTATTAGATTTCCTGGAAGCAGATTGGTCTATTTGTTCTCCTCGCTTTCTTTGTTAATGTCGTCTTTATCTCCTTCTCCTCGAAATACTCGTCTTCTCCGCCACTGTTCACATCATCATCATCATTCATGGTTGAAATTCTACAAATTTGTTAAATCTATATCTTAATTTTCTATGTACACATGGTGACTGTGAGAACCAGAAAACTGTGGAACAGGAAGACGACATTAATGCAATAGTTAAGTATATTTGATGTTGTTAAAAGCCACATAGCTTTACTATTAACTTAATAAATCCCTTATTAAGTGAAATGGGTTTGTATCCAGTCTATCACGTACTTGCACATTGGTTATGTATCCTATTTATATGCATTATGTTTAGTACAGGGTTACCCACAAAAGATGCAACTTCAGAGACAATTCTACAAAATTTACACTGTCAGTTTCATAATATTTATGATCATCAATTGTAAACTTGTTTCGTCAAATCATTAAATAAGCCATAAAAACGAAATTCAAGGTAGAAGACTTCGTTTAACCTCGGAAACGTCAAATCAAAAGAGTTTCAGGTCGTCTTTACAGCCTCATCCTATGTGGGTTCACCCTGTATAAATCCTACCGCAGTTATCCTTTGTTTTATTTGTTTAATTTAAGTTTGTTAATGTTGCTGTATCACCCTTATAGCTGTCCTTCAAATCTAGTTTTTGCTGGGGTAAAGTGTAAAGATAGAGTAAAGGTAACATATGTTGTATGTGTATGAGTGCTAATTTATCTTGCAATACTTTTTGCAGTCTGCTCCTTGGGCAGTATATTGAGTTGGCCACTTAAACATCTTAGTTATTTATATATACATTATTTTCCTAAAAACATTTTATCCGTTAATTATTACGATGTTATCAACCAATTATGTGTACTTTATTGCCCTACAGAAAGAGGGCATAAAAAAATATTTTTCTTTAAGTTGGTAAAAAGTTGCTCTACACGACAAGCATACATTTTTACCTATAAGCGAAGAGGGCATAAGAAAATATATATTTATAAAATTATTGCAATACTAAACATTGTGACTTATTTCACTAAAAAGACCACATTACACTTAACTTTTCTGAATCATTTTTTCACAGAAAATATTTGACATCGGGCCTCTCAGGAATATCTTTAATCAGTAAGAATAAAACAATGTTAAATAGTTAAAGTTATATTTATAGTATTTATTTTCAAACACAAAATACAAAATAATAATGCATGATGGTTCACCTTAAAAATAAATCACGAAAGAAAATAAGGATTGTTTTGATCAAATTAAAATCATTATATTTGCGTTGATATAACAATTTAAACATGTTTCGGGAAATTTTGTTCAAAAATAAAAAATAATAATAATGAGATTATGTTTTAAACCAATATAAACTCATGAATATAAATAGAAGAAAAACTTAACGTGTTCAATATTGTTCAGAGAAAGAAATAAACTGGCCTAACTGCTTTATAAAAACCTTTATTTGACCAAATGTTTACTTGAAAACTAAAACATTGCAGTAAAGAACAGGGCTAACTAAAAAAAAATATTTAAAAATCTAATTTTTTTCTAACTAAAAATTTCATCAATTGTTTTATTTTATTTGTAATCGCCATTTTTTTTAATTCCCCCTGTTTGGTCAAAATAACAGTGAACAGAGACTAGAGGAAGTTAATGCAGTATTTATTGTTAATTAGTTTCACTTCGTTATTTACAAAAAATGAGGGAAAAAGTTGCAACAAGGAAGGAGAGTTTCCCCGCCCCCCCCCCTCTGACTCATTTTCATATGTATAATAAGGACTTGAAAGAATAAGAATTTCCTAATATAAAAGTTAGAAACATTTTTATCTAAAGCAAAAAGTAGGAAGTGTATTTATTTATAAAACGTTGAAATTGAAAACATTATTAGTGATTGTTTGCAATGATCTCTAAAGCACGGCCAAACCGTAAAACTTTGGAAGTTGTAACAAATAATAGAAATGTTACATTTTTTACACTTGAATATAAAATATAAAATGAAATTTGAAATTTCACAGGCAACGCCGCGCAAATAAAAAGTTTTAATATTTGGATGTTGCCAATGTCACTTGACCCTTGTATCGATAATATTAAAGAATGACTCCGTAATTAAACTTCTTTTTCACGTTGTCAATTTACATGAATAGGCATGGACGCAAATTAACTGATTGAAAACTGCGAAGGACAATAGGACGAATTAAAATAAAGATGATGGTCAGGTGGGGGGAGGGTCTTAAATTCATGTACCAGTGTGCATCATGCTCAAAAATCCGCGGAATTTTATTGTTTATAATTTACGTTGCGGCATGTGCGCTATGCCTGACACGCGCACATTCCAATTTTTATCGATTTGCTGATCATCTTTAAATTGGAGTGGCGTAAAAATTAAAAATTTAGAATTGCATGAGATAAAGGGGGGCCACTTGAAAGCAAAAACATTAATTTTTACCTAACTCAAGTTTGACTTTTTGATTCAATTTTATCAAAATATGTCGTCTTCCCATGACAAGTAGATTATTAAATTCCTCGAAGGTTTTACATGCATATTTATTAGAACCTGTCATAATAAAACACATCAGTGACATGCATAAACTAGGCTTACACGGATCAAGACGATGGGCGTACACAGGGTACAAAGGGGTCAGAGGCGTATACTGCCGGGGGACCATAGGGGCTCAACATCCGCCTCCCCCCCCCCCGTCCTGAATTAGTGAAATCTCTGATTTATAGGGGGTTTTAGACTCGAATGGGTGCTAAGCCTCCGCTGGAAAGATATAAAGTTTTTTGTCATCCCCTTCTCCAGAAAAATTTATGTATACGCCCCTGACAGGGATATCAACTGATCCAAATAAAGAATATCTTTAACATAAAGATAACGTTTGAAATAAAATATTTTAGCTAAAAGTCTCCTGTGTACGCCCCTGAATTTATGTTTTTTGGCGAGTTTGGTAGGATTTGAGCAATTAAGTAGAGCGATTAAAGGGGCTGTAAGCGCAATTTCAAGTGACTCCCATGGGCATGCACAGATATGGCAATGCCAAATTTACAACGGTACCCTTTAAACCTAAATCAAAAAGGGGCAAGAAACTTATTATGCTTACAGTCCCTTTAAAAGCTGAGTCTCAACATGCAACCAAATAAAATGACTGACTATCCACATAACATTTTCATACTCTTATTGAAATTTGAGACATTTATATTTATTTTACATTTTTATCTCTACTTGTTCTGTTATGCCCCCCCCCCTATCCCATCTCCCTTTCACAAGATTACCAGTTGCGCATTTAAGTTCATACATACCGCTAATTTTGAGACCGATTAATATATATCAACCACTCAAGCTTTGAGCCTGGTTACATTACTGTGCATGTATTTCAGCCTGATTTTGATAAATGTCCGGCTTAATGAGTTCAGGGCTAAATAACAAGATTACAAAACTAAGATTAGTTTATAGATTAAAATATTTCAAAAATATTATCAAATAAATAGTTGATGACAACCAAATGGTCATTATAATAGTTTGATACAGGTAAAATATCCGTTAAAACATCAAACATAAAAAATGAAAGAGAATTGTATTTTTACGACCAGTGTTGTTGGGTATGCACATTACTCTTACCAGGTGGAGATGATTCATTTGGTGTACCGTTCCGTTTTGCCAGTTTTAAAGTCTATACGATCTGTATATGTATTATATCTAGCTGCTTAAAGAAAGTCCGGTACTTAAAATGAACAGAAGTTTTCAGTGTAGGTATATGTCGAGCTGAAATGCATTTTCACTATAATAACTGGTCGTCTTCACATTGTAACGTTTACTGGGACACGTCGTCTTTACAATATTACGTTAACTAGGCCGACACGTCGTCTTCACGTTGTCACGTTTACTGGGACACGTCGTCTTTCACATTGTCATGTTTGATGGGACACGTCGTTTTCACATTGTCACGTTTACTGGGACACGTCGTCTTCACGTTTTCACGTTTACTGGGACACGTCGTCTTTCACATTGTCACGTTTACTGGGACACGTCGTCTTCACATTGTCACGTTTACTGGGACATGTCGTCTTTACATTATCACGTTTACCGGGACACACTTTATGTATTGCCTTTTAGTGCAAAATTAAGGTTACCACTGAAAGGCAATACATAAGCTATGAAGCCAAATCTGATCAATGATTTGGAGGAAAATATAGTTTTTTAGCTTGAAAAGTGTACACCCTAGTAGTAATTGTACTGCACCCTGAATACCTACCCTACTTGTAATTGTACATCCTGTATACCGTACTTGTAATTGGACATCCTGTATACCCTGCTTGTAATTGTGCAT